AAGAACTGTAAAATAAAGCATACAGACGTTAGAGCATACAAAAATATCAAAGTAAAAAAGACTTGAGAAGCAAGTAAAAGTAACACTTGGCCCTTACCATCTCCCTCTCTGAACAATGTACGGCTTAAAGGGTAGAGGTGAAGGCCATCATCTGGAAGGAACTTCCAATTGACCGAGACGATGAAGTAATCGTCCCAAGCGCCCTTGTTGGAATCAAGGAGATCGGCAATGAGTTTGTATTCCGTTGACCTCGACTTAAGGTAATAAATGTAGCATTTTTCTGACTTAAGGTCACATATGGTGTAGCAGTACTAGATGTCGGCTAGAGTTACCCTAGCATTTTCTCGGCTAACTAAGGCGATAATACCGTTGATGACCCTGTAAGAGTAAATGGCTAATTGCATTGGGTTGAGTTTATAATAGTGAAGGATTTCTCGGAAAAGGATGTCAAGCGGGAGCCTAAGTCCACACTCTACGAAAGCTACCACTGGGAAGGGCATGGAGTCGTCTTTGGGCATGATGGAGTCCTCCTCCCCAGCCAACATAAGATGAACGTCGACAAGGATGGCAAACTCCTGCCTAAAGTATTCTAGCTTAATTGGGGTGTCTACCTTCCACCTCCACATACCCATAACGTCGGCTTAGAGGGAAAGTGTTGGATTTCAGAAGGGAGTGGTTCGTTAGGGTTTTAAGGACCTCGGCTTGAACTCAAAACAGAAACTAGGGCAAGGGATTTCAGGATCTAAGAGGAATTTTTTTCAATTTTTCCTAAGGATAGGGGTTCTAGAACAAATCCCAAAACCTAGAGCTATTGAAACAGAAATAAGGAGCAAGAATCTGGAAAAAAACAACAAGAAAACAAGGCAAAGAGTACGATTCAGATTCAAGAAGATAGCAAAAAAATCAAGAATAGTGTTAAGCTATCAAGAACGCCAAGCAAGAACGTCAAGTGCATATGTGTGTATGTGTATACCCAGAAGCAAAAACATGAGACAAACATGCCCAAGTATATGGTTGAATTCAACGCACAAATTTATAATCAAGAACATGAACAGGTTGGCAATGGTAGCAAATAATGTAGTGGAGTTTTTTAAAGAAAAACACAGATTGATAAGAGGGGAAGCAGTGACTTACCAGAGGGAGTGATGCCGGTGTGAGGTATGCTGGAGTTAAACGCGGGTGATACGAGGGGCAGAACGTCGAAAGCCTCGCCGGAAAGGAAGAATAAAGTAGTTGCAAAAAGCTTCAAGAATGAAAATGAAGGGTTTGGGAGATGAATGTTAGAGAGATAGAGTTTGGAGAAGACGAAGATGCAAAAGTGAAATGACGAAGAGAGAGGGAAGTGTTTTTGTCAAAACACGAAAAGGCGGCAAATCGCAATTAGTGTGCCTAGGACGACGTGCTTGTCAGACGGCGCATGCAAGTGCGATGCGACTTAATGGCGCATGTCAGGTACGGTTTAATGGGGGAGAGACGCGTGGCAAAAACGATTGAGTTGCAGTGCGTGACAGCTCATACGCGTGTAGAAACTCTTGGAGTTCTTGATTTAATGAAGCAAAGACCTCGGCCAAGGGGACGATCTCGGTTAAGGAAACTTGAAAAAACTTGGTTTCTAGTTCAAGGGCATTGGTGCAAACGGACTACAAGTCTTGGTCATATAGAGCCGACGAGTGATGACCTCGGTAATAAATGATAGAACCAGCTTAGCCGACATGCTATATGGTTTAAAGATACAGGTTCCATCACCTCAGGATGCCGAGGTAATAGAACCTAGGGAGCAGTTGTGGGGACATATTTTTTAGGTAGCAACACGTGGCCAAGGTGGCACCGAAATGCCAGCCGATGTGCCACGTGTCTTTGACTTGACGCCGAGGTAATCTCGGTTGGGCTGAGGTTATCTGCGGAGATACCGAAATCCGAAATGAGCGGATAAGGGACAAGAGTCCTAGAAGGGGGGAGGGCCTCAGACTGGATAAGGGTAAAACTCTTAGGGAGTTTATCTTTATTTATTGGAGAGTCCAGGATAAGCATTGAGCCAGAGTCCATTGAAGTTAGGCTTCTACAGGGATCAGGTCAATGTTGGCTATAAAAGTAAGGCACCCTCGTAGATCTAAGGTACGCTTTTTGTTTCCTAGCTAGTGAGTTAAAGCACTATTTGTTATCTTTACGAGATAATTGAGTATTAACTTGATCGTCGGAGTATCTCCGGGTGGATAAACCACCGCCGAAGTCTTATCTTTCTGTGACAGGTCGTTCGAGCGCAATATATTCTGCCAGTGTTCTTCAGCTGAGTACCTATTTGGCAATGTGGTCAGAAAATAGTACACACAACTTGATAGTAATATCAGAAGAAAAAAATTACAAAATGGTGACAAAAATTATAAATATTAATAATTAACATTATAAACTTTATCAATAATGTGTAATAATTTTTAAACATTATTACTAGATGGTAATTTTCCCTATAATAAACATCGGACAAAACAAAACCAAATCAAGATGATAACCCCATTTTCTCGGTACCATTCATCCCTATAAAATACTTTTAGACCATGTGTTGATCATGAATTTTGATAATAAAAAAAAATTATTAAAAAAAAAATGTAAGGGATAAAAAATTAAAATTTAACTTTCCTTCATATTTTCTCATTTTTATCCTTTCCTGTCACAAATTCTTAAAATCCAAACACAACCTCAATTGGCATATTAAGAATAAGGACAAATTATAAAAATGGTCACTATAGTTTACCCGTATTTTCATTTTGATTCCTACACTTTTAAATGTATCAATTTTGCCCTTGTAATTTGGCTTTTGGCTCGAAATGGTCCAATAGTTAACAGTAGTTAGACATTTGGATGGAAATTCGACGCGTGCAAGGCACGCACGGGCCAATTTTGACTTTCTTGAGTATTTTTGGATTAATTCAATTTGTTCTCTAATATCATCACTCAAATTTAACTCATTTAATAGATGTTTTATTTAATTTCATTATTTAATTATTATTATTTCTTAAAATAAATTTACTTAAAATTTTAATTAAAAAAATAACATATATTTTTATTGATATTTTATTTATTTAATTTTTAAAAATAAATTTATTTAATTGTGTAAAAAATAAAATAAAATAAATTGTTTACTCATGAAATTAGATGTCTGAAAATGACTATTTTTAGTGAATCTAATGTTTGATTGAACAAACTAGATAAGGATAAATGTGAAAAAGACTATTTTACCATTTTTTAATTATTTACTAAGTAATAGCAATATTAAACATATCTTTAATATTTTAATTATTTTTAGCTAGATTAAATAAAAAATTATTTTATTTTATTTTTTTACACAATTAAATAAATTTATTTTTAAAAATTAAGTAAATAAAATATCAATAAAAATATAAGTTATTTTTTTAATTAAAATTTTAAATAAATTTATTTTTAAAAATAATAATAATTGAGGGCTGGTTTGGCATAGTTTATAAAAGATAAAAAGTCAAAAAGTTATTAAAAAAATCAAAAAGTTATCACTATTCACAAAAAATATATATAAAAAAAACAAATCTATACCAAAAAAATACAAGTCAACTTTTGTATTGAAGTGATGGTGTTGTCTGCAGTGATGGTACAAATTAGATAGACGGATGCACTTCTCATGATACACAAGAGAATGTTGTTCGGCCTGTGGAGGCCTATCGTGGGTACCGTTTTGATAATCTGAACCGTCAATGTGTAAAACTCGTCAAGTAATATATGCCTGTAAAAAATCACGTTGATCGGATATCGATAACTATATGATCAAATTAGTTTTGTATAAAAAAATGGACGGTGAACAAATTAACGGTTGACAAAAAACTAATCCAATCAGATAGCTATCAATATTCGATCAACATGATTTTTTACAAGCATATAATACTCGACGATTTCTACATATTGCACGATTCATATTATCAAAAAGAGACCCATAATGGGCCTCCGCAAGCCGAACAACACCATCCAGTCCGATCTTGAACTAGAGGCAAGCTGCTCCTATACATCTATGCTGCCCACCGTACCAGCTTCATGGTACAATCACTGTTAGTACGATCATAAGAATTAGGAATAATATGGCAATTTTACTATTTTATACAATATTTTAATACATATTTTTTTGTAGAAAGTCAAAAGTTATTCCAAACAACCATCTTTTTTTTCTCTACTTTTTTATTCAAAGAATAAAAAAAATGCACTTATTTAGTTCATCCCAAACAACCCTTAAATAATGAAATTAAATAAAACAGAAAGTCAAAATTGTTCAAGAAAGTCAAGAGAGTCAAAATTGTCCCTTGCGTGCCTTGCACGCGTGGAATTTTTGTCCAAAATCCCAACAACGGTTAACTATTGGAACATTTCGAGCCAAAAACTAAATTGCAGGGGCAAAATTGATACATTTAGAAGTGTATGAACCAAAATAAAAATATGAGTAAACTATAAGGACCATTTTTATAATTCACCCTAAAAATAATGTTTGATTGCTTTTCCCTTTTTTATTTTCTATGCTTTTTTTCTTTTTAATTTTGCTTATGCTCTTGTCCATTATCTTCAGAAATTGCGATGGCAAGACGAAGGCCTTTTGGAAAGTGTCAATAATACCAATTTATTCACTTATATAAGTCATATCCCTTCTATACTTTTTGCAAGTCTTCTTTTAATAAACAAAAAAATTAACCTTTTTAGAACTTTCCAAAAACAAGCCAAAAATTGCTTCTCAAATAAATATATATGTCAGCTTAGTCATCCCAAATTTGTGTTATCCACCCTTTTTTCACAATTCAAAAAACCAATGACAAAGATTCACAGGGACAAACGAAAAAAAAATGTTAGGTATGATATTGGAAAATTCTTGAGGTCCTCACATGTATGGGCAGTGGGAAGAAATTATGAGAAACAGAAGGATGTGTGTGTGTGTGTGTGTATGTGTGTGTGAGAGACAGACAGAGAGAGAGAGAGAGAGAGAGAGAGAGAGATAAGGACCCAATATAAGCATCCACATAAAGTCGGTGGCCATTTGAGGCTGTCTAAAGCTAGTGTTCCAGACTACAATGTCATTTGAAAGTGGTGTTAAATACAGATACAACTCAAAATTCTGAGGCCGGGTCATAGTCTTCAGTCAGAAAATGAGACACAGAAAAGAATGGGAGAGGATGAGGGAGCAAGAGAGACCTAATGAGCAAAGGGCTCAATAAAGGACATACAGAACAACTGACTCCGAGATTTTTTCAAACCAGTCTATGCTTTGTGATTTTTTGTCATCTCATCAACATCCAGCTCAACTGCCAATACAGATGAATCCCTTCGCATGCTCAAATGACTGGTAAAAGAAAACTACAATTAAATATCACCATGTTTTCCCAATATATGGTTTGGTTAAAGTTGAAAAGAATAGATCAGCTCACCTGTTCTTCACAGGACCATGATCCACGGCCGTTCTCAGGGAATATATGACTCTACCAACTATGTCTGTCATGGGTAAGGGGCCAAATCTTCGGCTGTCATTGGCTTCCTGCAATTAATAGGAGAACAAGAAGAAAAGATTAACGCAATGAAAATTATAATAAGATCTATCACCCAATAGAAAGTCAAGCATTACCCATAAGCCAAGCACTAGTACGGATAGTAAGTGGTTTGCATTTACAAGCACACATCAAAGTAATGAATTGTCAAAGTGAGAAAGCTCTCTTATTCCGAAACTGAAGGTCTAGAATAAGTAGAAATTATTTGATATTTCTCATATTTTTGGCATTGCTTTGGATGTGATTGGTATATCCAATAGTCCTCGTCTTCAAAGCAATTAAGACAAACAAAACAAGCGAACTTAAGTGTTCTACATGCACAAACTACGAGCCAAAAACTCCAGCAACTCTAAATTTAGGAACCTTCTTATATTATTTTCAAGTTTTAGTTCATTAGGTTTTTCTTCTCCAGTAATACTTATAAAAATATATATATATATATATTTCTCCAGTAACAAGGTTCATGCATTCTAGATATCCAGTGTTAAGGAAATAGCTCTTTATAGGGAAAGGTGGAATCAGATCTAACTGAAGAAATTAGAAAAGTAGGCTTTTTCATAAGTGATTGAATAATATTAAAGGCACCATAGGGCACAAAGAATGTAAACAAAACATTATTCTAGATAGTAAGTGGTTTGCATTTACGAGCACACATCAAAGTAATGAATTGTCGAAGTGAGAAAGCTCTCTTATTCCGAAACTGAAGGTCTAGAATAAGTAGAAATTATTTGATATTTCTCATTTTTTTGGCATTGCTTTGGATGTGATTGGTATAGCCAATAGTCCTTGTCTTCAAAGCAATTAAGACAAACAAAACAGGCAAACTAAAGTGTTCTACATGCACAAATTACGAGCCAAAAACTCCAGCAACTCTAAATTTAGGAACCTTTTTATATTATTTTCAAGTTATAGTTCGTTAGGTTTTTCTTCTCCAATAATACTTATAAAAATATATATATATATATATATTTCTCCAGTAACAAGGTTCATGAATTCTAGATATCCAGTGTTTAAGGAAATAGCTCTATATAGGGAAAGGTGGAATCAGATCTAACTGAAGAAATTAGAAAAGTAGGCTTTTTCATAAGTGATTGAAAAATATTGAAGGCACCATAGGGCACAAAGCATGTAAACAAGACATTATACAGGAAAAAAATGACACACCTTGGGCTTCAAATTTTCATTGTCAGATAACACCCAACACTGATCCTTTTCAAGAACAAATGGCACATCTTTTTCATTAGTAGATACCATTTCATACCCTTCGATAGCAGCCAATCTTCGGACTAGATAGTTATCGGTTTTTTGGGGGTCCTTCAATACCACCATATCTCCAACAAAAACAGACCTATCAAAACCATACAGTAAGGAAACTGTGAAAGCAGAAAACATATACACGAATAAACCAACACAACCACCACCAAACAGAACATCCAAAGCTGCAAACAGAAAATACGAAGGAATATGAACTTAAGGTGCAGGGCAGCCTAACTGATAAATTCTGTACGATAGTCCTAAGTTGGAACCTACCTTCACCCAGATAGGGAAGGTTTATGGGCAACCCCCTATACAGTTCATTGTCATTAAATAAATTAATGAAGAAACGGAATAAAAGTGGACCTTTAAACCAAGGGCGGACAATAAAAAAGGCACTAGTTGTGAGAATGTTAATTTTGGAAGTATATTCGAGATTGATTGTGTGCATATATAGATTAATTGTATAGTGTTATTATTTCCTATTTCAGATTAGGTTTAGGTTTGCTATATATATCGATTGTAATCTTTGTATTGAACACAAGTTGAATATACAAATTTATTCAGAAACTTACATGGTATCAAGGCAGGTCACGAAACCCCACATCGTTAGTTAAAGAGTGTCGGAGACCCTCTTTAATACAGTCGTCTAATTTGGGCTTCATTGGGTGACCGTCGGAATCACGATCTTCTATTGCCAGAATTGCGAGTCATTGGTTCAAACTAGTTCGCAATCAATCTCTCTCAAACCTGGTTGTCGATTGAAGCTCCTTGCTTCGTGGGTCGTTTGTTCGTCTCTTTACCTCGGCTTGGTCTGGTTCGTTTGGGTCTGGTTTTTCTAGTGACCCATCCGGTCGACCTCTGGTTCGTCTCTCGACCTCTAACGTGGTAGCAGTGCTTCGACTCAATCTGTCTCTGTTCTTCTGGTTCTTTCGACCTCCATTTGGCTCTCTCGGCTTCTCTCCACTTCAGTCGGTGATCTCTCTCTCTCTGAGTTTGCTTCGGTCCTTTAACTTATTCTGAAATGTCTCTCTTATTACGTTTTGACCACAGTGTGTATTTATGGTTTCATTTGGACCCATTTGGCTTCTAATATTATGAGTGTGTTCATTGTCCTTGTTTACGAATACATTCATAATGACGGATACCCATTAACTTCAGCCTCTTGCAAAGCCCAAGAAGGAGCTATTGGCATCAGATGAGTGTGCCTTCTGTCATCATAGAAGCCATTGGAAGTATCATTGTCCCAAGAAGGGACGTTTGCCTTTTCGACCTCCCGCAAGTTCTATTGCATCTGCTTCGACTCCTGATCCTGACTTAGCTTTCTCAAGTGCTCAGATTAGTCAGTTTCAGCATATACTGTCTACCTCACAGCCACCTTCGTCTGCCTCCATTGTTTCCTCTTTTCATTCAGGTTTGCTTGGGTCTTCTTCAGGTATTTCTTCGTTTGTCTGGATTTTTTACTCTGGTGCCTCTCATCATATGACTCCCCATCTCTCTTTACTTCAAAATTGTACTCCTCTTCCTTTTCCTATTACTGTCAATACTGCTAATGGGTTTGGTATGTCTGTTATATCTGTTAGGTCTGTCTTACAGTCTGCTATGTCTGTTGTCTCTATTCCATCTACCCTTTATGTTCCTCAGCTATCTGTTAGTTTATTATCTATCAGTCAACTTGATGCCTCTAGTTTTGATATTATTTTTTCTTCTTCTTATTGTTCTGTGCAGGATCGGATGTCTAAGCAGCAAATTGGGACCGATCGTAGAGTTAGAGACCTCTACGTGGTGGAAAGCTTGCATCTGCCTATGGCAACCTCTCCGACTGCCTTTTCTTCTTTTTAGTTAGATTCTCTGTCTAGTCCTTTCTACTTGTGGCATTCTAGATTAGGGCATTTGTCGGCTAATCGCTTTTGGTCTTTAGTTCAGTTTGATATATTGGGTAAAATTTCTCCTAGTGAACTTACTGAATGTCGAGAATGTAAACTTGTCAAAATGACAGCCTTACCTTTTCGTAAAAGTACTTCTATATCTGATTCACCATTTTCTTTAGTTCATACTGTTGTTTGGGACCCTTCTCCTGTTCTTACCAAAGGGAGTTCCGCATACTATGTGTCATTTGTTGATAACTGCACCCGTTATATTTGAGTTTATCTTATGGCTCGTAAGTCCGATTTCTATCAGATATACCGTACCTTTCAGTTATGATTACTACTCAGTTTGGGTCTACAATTAAAGTGTTACGGTTTGACTTGGGTGAGGAATATTTTAAAAATGAGTTCTGTGAGTATTTGGCCAATTTAGGTACCATTCACCAAACTTCCTGTACAATACACCTGTCTAAAATGGTCAAGCCGAGCATAAACATCGTCATCTCCTTGAAACAGTTAGGTCTCTTATTCTTTTTGCCACAGTTCCGGCTCCATTCTGGGGAAAGACAGTTCTTATTGCTGCTTTTCTTCTCAATCGCATGTCTACTCCCCTTCTTTCTGGTCCGTCTCCTTATGAGGCTTTGTTCTCCTAACTTCCTAACTACTCCATCCTTCGTGTGTTTGGGTTTGCCTACTTTGTCCTTCCTCGCAAAGATAGGACCAAACTTAGTGTTCAGTCTGTCCTCTGTATCTTTTTGGGTTATAGTCCTACTCAGAAAGGCTATCGGTGTTACGACCCTGTTTCCCGTCATCTTTATGTCTCTCATCATGTTTATTTTCTCGCACGCCTACCTTACTTTCAGCTTCCTTCTCTCACTGCCCCAGTTTAAAGAGGATTTGGTTCATATGGATCTGTTTCCTTCTGAGGTCCCATCTGATTAGTACATCTCCACAGTTCCTCCTAAGCTTGTTTCTTCTTCTCCTCCTGCTTCACCTCTGGCTGCTTTTCCTCCTCCGATTTCTTCACCTCTTTCGTTGTTAGTTTATTCTCGTCGCCAGGCTCCTCTTCCACCGGTTGTCTTTACCCCTGCTGCTGATCCCCTTGCTTCTGACGACTCTGACCCTGCTGCACACCGATATCCTAATCAAGTACGTCATCCTCCAAATAGGTTGGGTTGGTCTAATACATGTTTTTCTGCTTCCTATCATACTTTTTTGTCTACTATTCATTCTTTTTCAGAACCTCAGTCTTACAATGAGACCTATCAGGATCCCCATTGGATTCAAGCTATGGAGGATAAGTTGTCTGCTTTACAGAAAACTAGTACTTAGGAATTGGTTCCTTTGCCTGCTGGTAAGAATCAGGTTGGTTGCAAATGGATCTACAAAATTAAGACTCATTTTAATGGTTCTCTTGAGCGCTACAAAGCTCGTCTGGTTGCCAAAGGTTTTTCATAGAAGTATGGTATTAATTATAAGGAAACCTTTGCTCCTGTTGCTAAGATGACTATTGTCCGTACTTTGATCTCTGTCGCTGCTGTTCATTCATGGCCTCTTTATCAGATGGATGTTAAGAATGCTTTTCTTAATGGCCATCTCACAGAGGAGGTTTACATGCGTTCTCCCCCTGGCCTTCACCATTCCTTTGGACAGGTTTGTCGCCTTCGGTGTGCACTATATGGTCTGAAACAGTCTCCTCATGATTGTTATGATCGCTTTTAGACTGTTGTTACTGCGCTTGGGTTTCATCCTTGTGCTCAGGACTCTACTTTATTTTTTCTCCATACCTTCCCCTGGCCTTCACCATTCCTTTGGACAGGTTTGTCGCCTTCTGTGTGCTCTATATGGTCTGAAACAGTCTCCTCATGATTGGTATGATCGCTTTTAGACTGCTGTTACTGCGCTTGGGTTTCATCCTTGTGCTCAGGACTCTACTTTATTTTTTCTCTATACCTCTATTGGATACATTGCCTTATTACTGTATGTGGATGATATAATCATCACTGGCTCTGACTCTTTTGCCATCTCTGAGGTCAAGCAACATCTTTTCCGCACCTTTGAAATGAAGGATCTAGGTCCCTTGCGATATTTTCTTGGTATTGAGGTCGTTTCATCTTCTAAGGACTACTTTCTATCTCAGGCCAAGTATGCTAATGAGGTTATTCATCGTTTCGGTCTTACTGACACTAAGTTTTCTGATAACCCCCATTGAGCTTAATGTGAAACTTATCACTACTGATGGTATTCTTCTAGATGATCCTACTTTATATCGAGAGCTCGTGGGTTACTTAGTTTATCTGACGGTTACTTGCCATGGTCTTGCCTATGTTGTTCATATGATTAGTCAGTTCGTTTTGGTCCTCATTCTACACATTGGGCTGCTTTAGTTTAGATTCTTTGCTATCTCCAGGGTTTCAGGGTTTACTGTTATCTTCTACTTCCTCTTTGGACTTGGTAGCTCATGCTAATTCTGATTGAGCTGGTGATGTCACTGATTGCAAGTCCACTTCTGGCTTTTGCATGTTTCTTGGTAATTCCTTGATTTCTTGAAAGAGTAAGAAACAAACTGTTGTTGCGCGTTCCACTACCGAGGCTGAGTACCATGCTATGGGCCATGGCTCATGCTTCTACTGAAATTGTTTGGCTTCGTTGTCTCTTGACTGATCTAGATGGCCCTCAGTCTTCTCTGACCTCCCTTTACTGTGACAACCAAGTGCTATTCAGATTGCCCATAACACTGTCTTTCATGAGCGGACGAAGCACATTAAGATTGATTGTCATTTTGTCCGTCAGCATCTGCAGTCTGGCTCCATCTCGTTTCCTTTCGTCTCTTTGGCATTGCAACTTGCTGATTTCTTTACGAAAACTTACACCACTGCTCGCTTTCAGTTTCTTCTTGGCAAACTCTCAGTGTTTTTTGCTAAACTACCTTAAGTTTGAGCGGGGGTGTGAGAATGTTAATTTTGGAAATATATTCTAGATTGATTGTGTGCATATATAGATTAATTGTATAGAGTTATTATTTCCTATTTCAGATTAGGTTTAGGTTTGCTACAGATATCGATTGTAATCTTTGTATTGAACACAAGTTGAATATACAAGTTTATTCAAAAACTTACACTAGTATGACAGAAACCAGGAATGCAAAAATAGCGAAGCTGAAAAGGAATCAGTTCATGAGCTAAGATATTAATCTGTTCAAATGGTGAACAGGTTTGTTCTAATCTGCAAATTCAGCATATTACATATATATCTGGAGGAATTTATGATTTGATGGGTTTACAATACAAATTCAATAGCTGACTCAATTTCGCAGCTCCTTTGAACCCTACAGAGCCACTAGGCTACAGCAATTTGACTTGGTACCTGTTGCTCTGTGACATCCCAATATTAATTGTGTTAGTGAACATATAATTATGTTTATAAATGCATATACATAGCCACTCTGGAGACACTTCGAACAATATGCTTTTCAAGAAATTGTGGATTTACACCAAGGCTTCTGCTGGTTGCAGCTTTAGGCCATGACAACTAATTGCTTTTTCTACCCCAACTATCTGATCAGCAACACAAAATTATACTCTTATGGTACCAGCAACCAAAAGTCTGGTTTGGGCAATCCATTAACTCATCCAAACAAAAGCTAGAAACACAGGTACAATCCACACCAAATGTAGAAAAAAAATTGTCTTGGCTACAAGGTGTCAATATAGCTGAGCCCTCCCTTGTTGAGGTCCATAACCGGTAGTATAATATGTACTTGTGAATGCGTGCAAACTCTGGCCAGACATCAAAATGCCAGCTTGCAAATGAACTCACAGTTGGGTTTAAATCCTAATATGTAATTTGGAAAAACAGCCTTCTTTCCAACTTAAGATGGAAATAAATACCACATTGTAGCTGTAATTATTAAGTTGATATTAACATAGCCTTATGCACCCAAATTGACCAATTAGACCGCAACACAATTCAGTTGGTACAAGGCAATGAAATGTCCAAACAGTACCTTGAAACACCTAAGTCAATCCATTTGATTTAATAGAACCTTGCATTGATACTGAGTGCCCTATGACGACCGTATTTGAACTTGACTAACTAGCCCAGAGAGAAATAAATAAATAAATAAATGACAAACATTCATAGACATATACACAAATAAATGCACATGTCAACACATGGCTATATAAAAGTTCATCGTGAAAACCACTGTACGTTAAAAAATAGTAATAATAACTGGTTTCAGTCACGAAGAGCATGTAAATTAGTAAATTTTTAAAAAACAATGAACATTACATAATGCAGGTAGAAATATATAAACAGTTTCAGCTACGGCATAACCTTAGAAATAAGGATGGCCACGTTTTTACTTCTAGTAGAATGAGTTAGTGATAAGAATTTGTGCCACTAACTCGAGGGATTTCCGTAAAGTTTGCAAATAACAATTACACCTATTCAAGCTTACACTACTAGAGTTGATAGTAATCCTTGTAGATAAAGCAACAATAAGTAAATAAATATAGTGATGAATTTAAGAATTGTCCTGTAGATTCTTCAGTAGTTTGATCTTTGATGGTTTTTATTGGACAAGCAAACTTTCATATCTTTGATGGAAATTATTTATTATTTACAAGACAACAGGTCCTAGTTTGAGATTCCTTAATCATTTAAAATATCTAATCTCACTCCTCAATCTCGATTCATTTTCAGTATTGGAGAAGCAAAAAATAATAATTTTAACTTGAGATGAGAGCATAAAAAGGCATCAAATTTATCTTAAGAATTAAATGTTTAAAGGATAATGTAATTACGTACGAACTGAGCAAATATGTTTCGTGAAAAAAGAAAAAAGGCATAGATAATATCTATCTAGTTTTGCAAGTCAGTTAATAGTAATATTACGTTGGCTCAGCTTCTGGTATTTTCCGGACAAGAAGAGTTCCCCCCTGCGCTGCTATTGTTGGGACCATCTCCTCTCCTTTGTTCCAATGCAAGTATGTCAACTTTCCCTGAAATAAATTTTTCCATACAATATCAACTACTTCTCTTTCAGTGATTTGACCTCCTTCAAATCTCTGCATCAAAATAAAGATTCTCTCATTATAATCTCCTATAAAAGAAATTCTAAAATCCAACAGCCATAACCCTAAGCGTGCATACAAGAAAAGCAACAAAACATCTACAAAATTAAAGCAGGGAATAAATATGATAAAATGCATAAAAAAAATAAGAGATAATGGTGGCAATGGCGATTGTGATGATTGGCATGAACAAAATAAGAGTTCCACACTTTCAAAAGCAATATCTTAGTGATTAATTTAAAAGAGCATATTCAGTGTATTGTATCCGATAAATAAACAAAAGGTGTTTTAGTTTATCAACAAACAAATTGTGCACATTATGGATGCACTGTTGAATCCCAGGAAGTAATGGAAAATGAATGGAAATCGACTCAAATATGTAACTTGTGTTAGACAAACAAAAACTGACAATAGCATTCTACATTCATAATAGCCTCGTTGATTTATGTAGAGTTAAGTGCGCCTCGACTTCAATCTAATTCTTTTATAAAACCCTCATGTTGGATTATGCAAAAATGCTTCCCAGTTTTTTTATAATAAGTAAGAAAATTTATATTAAAATAAGCACCAAGGGGATGCAATGCAACCCATTTCAAAGCAAGAGAAGGGGTATACAGAACTCACATATTTTGCTAAGAAATATTTAGCAGAAAAATAATGATCACCCACATCGATACAATTTGAAACATATAATAACAAGAACCCAACACCCCCTTTCACACCCCACACTAAAAAAACAAATAAAATAAAATAAAAAACACTAATTTGTGAAAATAACCAATGCCAGCACCTCCCCAAAAAAAGTAATTTATACAAATCGAACGAACCTATCAAATACTTTCTGGGGAAAAAAATGAAAAAACAAAAATAAAAAAACCTATCCATCTTAATAAGGAGAGAGAGAGAGAGAGAGAGACCTTGAGGCTGAGACAGGCAGAATACTCGAGTTTGTTGGCTAGGTAGCGGAACCAGTTGGAGAGGGAAACCATCGGAGGGTGGAGATGATATCACCCTCTCTGTGCCAGAGTCTTCTGCTTCAGCGTCCCCCTTCCCTTAAACCCCTTTCAACTACTTCGATTGCCGTTAATTTCATAGATTATTATGCCATATTTTTATATTATTATTGGAGTGGATGAGATCAAGTATTTGGATAATAAGTTAATTGTTGGGTGGTTTAAGCATCTACTATGCGTGGCTAGCTTTTGATCGAGTTTCTTCTTAAATTGAGGTATTGGGTTTTTATTCTTTGATATTGTTTTTGGTTTTATGGATTTGGGTTAGTATTTGTGAGGGGAAAAATAAACAAAATGGTGTAAAATATAAATCAAATATAATTATATTTTATACTTAATTTCTCTTCGTTTAGCTAAGTTTGTTTTTCTAAATTTATGAATTAAATTCAATTTTATGAATTAAATGGAAAGCAAAACTTAAAAGGGAAAATCGGTCTAGGGTCCCTCTTCCACTTTTCATAATGGAAGAGATCCATAAAATTAATTTTTGATGTCTAAGGTCCCTAAACATATATCAGAGAAATTTCGATCATTTATACTATCTTCATTATCTGACCCACCGCCACCCCCAACCGGACTCTGAGTCCTCATCTTCCAACACTTCCCAAAGCTTTACCCAGTGGAGATTCCCACTCCCAAATTGGGTTTTTATTCTTTGATATTGTTTTTGGTTTTATGGATTTGGGTTAGTATTTGTGAGGGGAAAAATAAATAAAATGGTGTAAAATATAAATCAAATATAATTATATTTTAAACTTAATTTCTCTTCATTTAGCTAAGTTTGTTTTTCTAAATTTATGAATTAAATTCAATTTTATGAATTAAATGGAAAGCAAAACTTAAAATGCTTGTAATGAGTGGGTATGAATTTTAGGGATGTTTAAAAACAAAAAACAATAGAATCGGTTAATCGATCCAAATCGATTTAATTCCATCGATTTTGTTTGTTTTTTTAAGTAATGGCTCTGGTTCTGATTTTAAAAATAATGAAATCATTTAAATCAGTTTGATTTTTTGTTTCAAAGTTTTGGTTACGGTTATGAACCGAATCGGACTGTGATATGTTTATTTATTATTTTTTATATTTTTATACAAAAATATATATATAATTTTTTTTATAAGATTTGAACGCTAGCCATCATTGTAAATTTAATAAACTCTAACCAACTTAACCAAACTGATTATTACTATAATTTGTTTACTAATGTTACTTATCATATTTATTGTTATGTAAAATTTCTAAAATTGTAAACTGAACCAAACTAAATCAGTTTTTATGATTCTATTCTGATCTGATTTCACATGTTAGCGGTTTGGTTACTGTTCCAATTTTTTCTTGGACCATAAAAAATAGTTTGGTTCCTGATTTAGTCAAAAACCAAGCCAATTTGATTCGTGTGCAACTTTAATGAATTTAACTCCCTAAGTACAAATTTAATAACCACTGACTTTCGTCAATCAAAAAAATATAAACAAAATTTCAGAAAATGGAATTAAAATTTGTTCTGATCTGATTTATTTGTTTCATTTAACTTCCCTTGGATGAGATAGTAATTCATTTTTGTAAACCACAATATGTAGTACTATAAAACATACCAACATTGTTTATAAAATATGTTCTAAAATGCTCGACTTCTTATTATATAATGAATTTTTAACCAATTGAATCCGAGTCACATCTTAAGTTAAAAAAAATCAAAAACTAAGGAAAAATAAAAGAATTTAAAAAAAAGTTTGCTATACATGAAGGAAAAATTACAAACAATATAAAAAGTTAATAAAATTATAATGAATTAATAGAAAACAAACAAAAAATTCAATAACAAATATTTTTTTTATTGGCCATCTCTCCCTTTCTCTTTCATTCGCATCGTCTCTCTTTTACTTTCTTCCACTCTCATCTATCTTTTTCTTCCATTCTCCTCACCCATTACTAGTTCCTCTCAATCACTCCTCCCTCATTTGCCACCCTTTTGCTTCTTCCACTCTCATTTATCTTTTTCATCCGTTTCCTCACCCATTGATAGTCCCTCTCAATCACTCCCTTCTGTTCATTTGCCACCATCTACCTACTCTACCGTTACCAATACTCCGCAACTCCCTCTCCACACTATGTTGACACATTCATCCCCCATAAATCCCATATAAAAACTATATATTATAGATCGCATGCATCATTGTAAATTTATATTTTAGCGTGATTTCTATTTCTCTCGCACTCACATAATTCTCTATTGTCATGAGGTTTACGATGGTTATTGGTAGAGGGATGCGTTGAAGAGGGTAGTGTTCGGAAATTTTCTACATTATTGATAAATAATATATATATATATAAAGGAAAGAGCAAGATCGTTATTTTTTCATAAATTATGGTATGGATTATGATTTATTGGAAAGGTAGTTTCCTTTTGTATTTTTCTTCCCATTATTCCCACCCATAATGTAATTAAAAATTGCTTTCAATCAATTTGTAATATTTTTATGGAATTCGTTTTTAGTTGTAATTTCCTAATATTAAAATGAGGGCTTTTTTTTGAAAAATTTACCCATAAATTTTATTTTCTGAAAAGTTGAACCATTTAGTCCTAAAAGTTTTTTTATGCACCATTTAATCCCATTTTATTTTTCAAATTGTTTATTTAATTTTGATTATTTCACAAGTTACAATAGTATCCTTTTGTAGAATGTTTGTTTTCTAAAAATCTGTAACATCATAAAAACTAGTCTTTTTTTACATCACAACATCATCATCAAAACAACATCAAACATCATCATCAAAACATAATTAAAACATCAACAACATCAAACATCATCATCAAAACGTAATTAAAACATCAACAACATGAAACATTAAAACACCAACAAACATCAACCATGAACAAAACATCAACAACACTGCCTAATCATGATTCACCGACTATCTAGCTCCGATTATGGTCTCCATTCCTAAGTCTTAGAGCTTTTCTTCCAACTCTCTCTAGGGTTTTCACTTTCCTGCACCAAATTCTCTCTCTCTCTCTCATGTACGTATAATCTTTATTCTTTCTCTAGACCTCAACAATCTCTGCCTAAAAATTAGGGTTTCTGTGGTGTTGCTTTCGATTCAATCCGATCCGATCTTCCATTCTCTTCGGATGAGAAATCTCGAAGAACTCACATTCGAAATCACTCACTCTATATCCAACTTCGAGTTTTCTGGCCAAAATCAACAGCCACGATGGTCACGGCCTTTCTCTCCCCTCATCTCCTTCCTCGGGGTGCCATGGATTCTGGCGCAACGCTGCTCTAACGGTCCCTTCAGCGCTGTTCGTGCTCTACTTGGCGAGTCAACGCGGTTTATGTGTTTCTTGCAGAGGAGGACGATCCGCCAAAAACTGTCTAGGGTTTGGAGCTTCTCTTTGGGGTTTGTGGTGTTGATTCGGAGTCCACAACAATGGCAATCGGACAAATTGGGTAGATCTCTGGTTTTCTTATGGAACCAATCGGAAGATGAGTCCGATGACAGAGCCGAATCGGACGATGTAGCCGCGGCGGCGGAGGCGGAGCCCTGTTTTGGCTACGGATTGGCAAGGAATCGCTTCCGAGAAGATGGGGTTTTGGTGAGATCTTCGCCTTTGCCTTTGCATTTGACTAGTGGTTGTTGATCTCGCCGTAGACATCGAAGTGGTCTCTAAGGGAGAATAATGTTTGATAAATCATGTTGGAGAATAATGTTGAAGAATAATGTTTGATGAATAATAATGTTTGATGAATAATGTTTAATGTTGAAGAATAATGTTTGATGAATACTAATGTTTGATGAATAATGTTTAATATTGAAGAATAATGTTTGATGAATAATCTTTGATGTTGACGCATAATGTTTGATGAATAATGTTGAATATGTAGTTGATGTTGTGATGTTGAAGAATAATGTTCAAGATGCAGTTGATGTTGGAGAATAATGTTTGATGAATCATGTTGGAGAATGATGTTGAAGAATAATGTTTGATGAATAATGTTGAAGTTGTAGTTGATGTTTGTGATGTTTGATGTTTGATGACGTTGGGAAATCATAAAAAAAACTTATAGTAAGCTTTTTGGGCTATAAGAAAGCTTCTTGTTTGATATATATGCCCTTTATGGTCAATTTCTCTATAATGGAACCTTTCAGTTTATAAGAAAATTTTTAAGACTAAACAGTGTATAAGTTGTTAATTTGGGATTTATTGGTGCATCACTCTTTTTTTTTATCTATAGTATTTAAAAAATATATGTCTTATTTTATTTAAATTTCCAGTCTTATATCTAGAAAGTAAAAAAAAATAAATAAATAACAAATAGTTATGACCAGGTGGAATTAGTATTGTTCTCGTGATCACCCTAGGTATTAAATTGTGCATAACAAGACAGTTGACTAGGAAATTATTTATTAAAATGAGATATCTATTAAGAAAGCTTCTTGTTTGATATATATGCCCTCTATGGTCAATTTCTCTATAATGGAACCTTTCAGTTTATAAGAAAATTTTTAAGACTGAACAGTGTATAAGTTGTTAATTTGGGATTTATTGGTGCATCACTCTTTTTTTTATCTATAGTATTTAAAAAATATATGTCTTATTTTATTTAAATTTCCAGTCTTATATCTAGAAAGTAAAAAAAAATAAATAAATAACAAATAGTTATGACCAGGTGGAATTAGTATTGTTCTCGTGATCACCCTAGGTATTAAATTGTGCATAACAAGACAGTTGACTAGGAAATTATTTATTAAAATGAGATATCTATAATTGCTATAATTTGTTATTTAGACTATGATATATTTATTTATTATTTTTTATATTTTTATATGAAAATGTATATATAATATTTTTTAAAAGATTTGCACGCTAACCATCATTGTAAATTTAATAAACTCTAGCCAACTTGACCAAACTAATTATTACTATAATTTGTTTACTAACATTACTTATCATATTTATTATTATATAAACTTTCTAAAATTGTAAGCTGAATCAAACCAAATTAATTTGTATGATTCAATTCTGATATGATTTCACATGTTGGCGGTTCGGTTATTGTTCCAATTTTTTCTCGAATCATAAAAAATAATTTGGTTCCTGATTTAGTCTAAAACCGAACAAATCTGATCCGTGTACACCTTTAATGAATTTAAATTTAATAACCATTGACTTTCGTCAATCAAAAAATTATAAAAACTTTTTCAAAAAATGGGATTAAAATTTATTCTAATATGATTTATTGGTCTCATCTAACTTCCCTTAGATGAGATAGTAATTTATTTTTGTAAACAACAATATGTTGTATAAAACATACCAATATTGTTTATAAACTATGTTTTAAAATGCTTGACTTCTTATTATATAATAAATTTTTAACCAATTGAATCCGAGTCACATCTTAAGTAAAAAACAGTCATGCTACGTAGCTCGAAAGTTACGTAGCTCAAATCCCCCTAATCGAAAACGGTGCCGTTTTTCTATATATATATATATGTTTTTTCAGAAGCAGAAATCAGGAATAAGAAGGAGAGGAGAGGAGAGGACGAGGACGAGGAGGAGGAAGGAGGAGGAGGAGGAGGAAGAGGACTGGAGGGGGCCTAATAACAGGGGAGGAGGAGGCGGGGCCGGAGGCGGAGACAGCGGCCGGAGCTGGAGCTGGAGCTGCTGCTGCGACGAGCTGACAGCGAGGCGATGACGGCGGGCCAGAGCTGCGACGACGGCGGGGAGCTGCAACGACCACCAGCTGCTCCTCTTCCCCTCTTCTTCTCTCTCTTTCTCTCCCTCTCCCTCTCCCTCTTCCCCTCTTCTTCTCAGATTGGTTTCAAATCGAAAACGGAAGAAAAAAAAGAAAAAAAAAAACTAATGCCCAAAACGACGTCGTTTTGGGCATTAGGGAGATTCGGGGGGCAAAATCCTCGAGCTACCAAACATTATTCGTAAAAAAATTCCAAACTAAAAAAAAAATAAAAAGAGTTAAAAAAAAAAAGTTTGCTATACATGAAGGAAAAATTACAAACAATATGAAAAGTTAATAAAATTATAATCAATTAATAGAAAACAAACAAAAAATTCAATAACAAATCTTTTTTTTATTGGCCATCTCTCCCTTTCTCTTCCATTCGCTATAGTCTCTCTTTTACTTTCTTCCACTCTCATCCATCTTTTTCTTCCATCCTCACCATTACTGGTCCCTCTCAATCACTCCTTCCCCCTCATTTGCCACCCTTTTGCTTTCTTCCACTCTCATCTATCTTTTTCCTCCATTTCCTCACCCATTGATAGTCCCTTTCAATCACTCCCTTCTGCTCATTTGCCACCATCTACCTACTCTACCACTACCAATACTCCCCAACCCCTCTGCACACTATGGTAACACATCCATCCTCCATAAATCCTGTATAGAAACTATATATTATCGATTGCATGCACCATTGTTGTTCTCAATCCATTATAAATTTGTATTTTATCGTGATTTCTATTTCTCTCGCACTTACATTCTCTATCGCAATGAGGTTTATGATGGTAATTTATAGAGGGATGCGTCGAAGGGGGTAGAGTTCAAAAAATTTCTACATTATTGATAAATAATATACATAAATATATAAAAAAGGAGCAAGATCATTATTTTTTCATAAATTGTGGTATGAATTATGATTTATTGGAAAGGTCGTTTCCTTTTGTATTTTTTTTCCCCATTATTCCCGCCCACAATGTAATTAAAAATGGCTTTCAATTAATTTGAAATATTTTTATATAATTCATTTTTAATTGTAATTTCCTAATATTAAAATGAGGACTTTTTTTTTTTTAATCTATAGTATTTAAAAAATATATGTTTTATTTTATTTAAATTTCCAATCTTATATCTAGAAAGTAAAAAATAAAAAAATAACAAGAAGTTATGATCAAGTGAAATCAGTACTACCCTCGTGATCACTCTATGTATTAAATTGTGCATAACATGACAGTTTACTAGGAAATTATTTATTCAAATGGGCTATTTATAATTACATTCAAAATTTTATGTTTTAATATGTATTCAAATTTAAAATTTGTTTATAAATATACATAACGAGAACAACATATTTATTTTCATTAATATTTTTGTATCTAACGAACAATGCACTACCTCCTGCTGGCATATCAATGGATTCGACCGACTGAGGGAGTGTACAAAGTTAATTTTGATAGGTCAGTAAAATCTCGATTGAAGATGGTGGGAATTGATGTCATTGTTGGAGACTGTCATGGCCAGGTTGTGGTTGCCCTTTCGGATGGGCTTCAATTATAGAACGATGTGAACTGTGTGGAAGCCATGGCGGCATTGCGTGCAGCGCAATTTGCTAAAGATTTATGCCTTTCAAAGATCTGCTTGGAGAATGATTCGGCGAATGTCATCAAGGCAATTCAAACCTCGGAGGACGTTTTGTCTCGATTTGGTCATTCAGCACAAGCTACTCATGACTCTTTGGATGGGTTTCAGGCCGTCTTGATCAGTCGTGTTTATTTTTTAGTTGTTTGGATTAAATTTTTTAATTTTTATGAAAAAAAATAAATAATAATTATAATTTAAGTGTAATATTTTATCTTATTAAATTAAAAAATTTATTTTTATTTTTTTTACGACTATTTCAATCAAAACCAAATACGTCAAACAATGCCTAACTTTTTATAATGTTGGTCCGCACATTTAGATGGAGGATGCTCCATCTAAGTTAGAGCTTCTGGTCTTTGCTGACGCTTTTCCTATTTAATGTCGTCTTTCATCCTTCTAAAAAAAATAATGCGCGATCTTAAATAGTATAAAATAAAATAATAATAAAAACTTAATATTATGTATCCCATTAATTCATGTGATTTTTTGTTAACTCATGGCACTTATCTAATTATTTTATAAAAAGAAAAAGTCATCCCAAACATACAAGTTTTTTTTACCTACCTTTTTAACCAATTAGCCAAAAAGTTACTAAATTAGCCTGTTCCCAAACGAGACCTTAATGTCGTCTTTCATCCTTCTAAAAAAAATAATGCGCGATCTTAAATAGTATAAAATAAAATAATAATAAAAACTTAATATTATGTATCCCATTAATTCATGTGATTTTTTGTTAACTCATGGCACTTATCTAATTATTTTATAAAAAGAAGATAAAAAAGAAGATAAATAAAGAAAAATGTTAAGGATTAAAAATTTTACTAAACACTCTTATAAATGTAGGGATGTAAGAAAAATTAAAAAATAATCAAATTGATTGAATCAGACAGATTCAGTTATATTTGGTCTTTTTTAAAATAAGAATTAGTCTGTGCGGTTTTTAAATTTGATTTTTTTCGATTTTTAGTTCGATATTGATTCAAGTACCTTGTGCACCGAATTAAATCGAAGTCAACTACTTAAACATATATTGTATTTATAATATATATAATCTAGTAATATAATGATATTAATAAGTATAATAAATTATTAATTTTAATTAATTAATCTTATTATCTCTATAACCTAAGTTTGTAAATTCTGTTTATGTATAATTTTAACTCTAACCCATTATTCTTCAAATCTTAATATTTTTTTATTTGTTTCTTTGTTAATCTAAGAATTAAAAAATATTTATTAAATGGATAGATTTAATATATTTGACGTGGTAAATATATAGATTAGTGATTATAATGATGAGTTTAAGTTTGCGAGGTCCTAAATCAATTAAATCGCATTGAATCGAACTGTTTCAATCGGTTCGGTTCAGTGTAATTTGATGAGATAACCAATATGTATGAATGCATAAAATAATAAAATTAATATTATTGATTTGATAAATTTTTTTATGCAAATATCGACCATACCAAACTGATGACATCTCTACCCAGGTGAATATTTGATAAAAAAAAAATGTAGGCTATGTTTGGTGGAGATTTCAAAACTCAATTACATCCCTTAGTTTGAGTGCAGTGTTTGGTTAGAGTTTTCAAAAATTGATTCCACACCTACTTTTGAAAACACGTCTATCTGGTCATCCTCTCGGACGTCTAACCAGTCAACCAAAACAATGTTCGTGTTTTTTTTTGGGCAATTGACACATATTATTTTTTTATATTTTACATAAAAAATATTTTAAGAATTTTTTTAATTTTTTATGAGTTTTAAATAGAATTTTGAATTGTGTGTTTTATTATAAGTTTTAAATTTTTTAATCAAATAACTTTTTTAATTTCAAAAACTCAAAACTCTTTCAAAAACTCAATTCAAATTTCATAACTAAATAAATTTTTTATTTTTAAATCATAATTTCAAAACTCATAAATTTAAAATATAATTCTATTTTCAAATTATAATTCCAAAACTCTACTCTCTCCAAAATTATGCATAAATAAATAGTTGATCTCATTATTTTGATAAATAAAAATTGAAGTGGGCAGCACCACTGATTGTCCTAGAAGCAGCAAATAATTTTTGAGTGGTGGGACCCGCGAAAATAAGAGATGACAGGAAGAAGCCACGCGTATCTCAGATATCGAGATCGGCTCAATTTCACACACTTCTATCTCACAGCTCTTGTCGCCATCCTCAAAGGCCAATTCAATTCAAAGCTTTCTCTCTCTCTCTCTCTCTCTCTCTGCCTCACCGCCTCACCAAGCGAAGCAAAAACGCAGAGTCAAAGAAAGATCGACGTTTTCACAACTCAACAAAACTAGGGTTTTACAAAACCGCCATACCAGTCCAGGCCTCTCTATATATCTCTCAGGCTCTCAAATTCATCACTGTCGACATGGACAAACTGAAACTAGCTTCGTCCTCATTGGGCGAGCGATTGAAGACAGGCGGAGCACAAATGAGCCGAATGGTCAGCTCCAAAATGAAGGAGATTCTGCAATCACCGACTCCGGAATCGAAGATGGTGGACGAAGCGACTTCCGAGCACATGGAGGAGCCGAATTGGGGGTTGAATTTGCGTATATGCGCCATGATCAACAGCGAGGAGTTTAGTGGATCGGAGATCGTGAAGAACATCAAGAAGAAGCTTTCTGGGAAAAGCGTGGCGTGCCAGAGGCTGAGTCTTGATCTGTTGGAGGCTTGTACGTCGAATTGCGAGAAGGTGTTCTCTGAGGTTGCGTCTGAGAAGGTGTTGGAGGACATGGTTAGGATGATCGACGATCCCAAGACCGACCTCGCCAATCGAGGGAAGGCTCTGCAGTTGATTAGGGCATGGGGCGAGTCGGAGGATCTCAAATATCTGCCCGTGTTTCATCAAACTTATATGGTAATTTTCTGTTTATAATAATTAGTTTGTTATGTGTTTTTGTCTCTGTTCATGTAATTCTTTATTTTTTTAGGATCTTTGTTGAATTTGTTTTTTAGGGTAGGAATTATTATCTTGAAATTGTGTGTTGTAGAAAAATTGCAAAGGTTACTCATTGATGATCATGTCTGAATTCTAGCACTAAACGAATTATGAAACACACAACTATGACATGCGAAGTAAAATGGTGGAAGCGAAGGCTTGTTGCCTTTAGAAAGTTTTCTAAATAGGATTTTTCCACTACTTTGAAAAATAAGTGCATGGGACCCAAGGAGTAGAAGGAAATTCAACTTGCCTTGTTGACCTTTCCTTCACATACTCACGCATGCTACAATATTTTTAACGCTAGGGAATTTAGTAGAGTAGAGGGGCATGATTAGTTTTATGACATCAACATAGGTTGATATGTTTACATCTCCTAGTTGTTTCGGTTTAGTGTATCAATGTTTAACCCAAACATTGTTGGTACCTTCAAGGCTGTTCCCATTAACTGTGTTGCATCTGGTCTATGGATTAGGCTTCTTTGTTCTGTAAAGAAACACTTGCTTATTATATTCTGTCAAATAATGTTTTCTTATTCAGTTTACAAGGATAGTCTCATTCTTGCTGCATTTAATACATATGGGTCATGTTACCTTTGTTTGTTATCACCATCTACTCCAACGAACACCTGAGGTTTTTCGATCTGCTAAACATGGTGTGAACATTTGTTGTGGTTTCAGCTGGATATTATCTTTTATGGACGTTGAGCTCATATTTATACCGTTCGTTGGTATAAATTGAAAGATAAATACTTGAATACTCTCACATTTTTCTTTAATCTCTCAACTTCATCACAGTTGCACGTGCGATAGTCAATTGCTGGAATTTGTCAATTGTTTCTTTATCTAAGCCTTTTGTTGCTTCTTTATCCTCATCTAGCAATGCTTAATGTGACTTTAGCCTTCCATATTTGATTTCCATTATAGCCATCCTGAGCAGCCTGATTGTGCAGTTCTTGCATAACATTTTGATGGAACAGAACACTTTTACATGAAGGGAGCAAACCAAAAATAAAGTATTGATTTTGGTTGCCTTCAGCACATCTATCAACTTGCCTCCCAGTTTGATTTTTAAGGCTTCTGATTGGATCCAAGAAGATTGGTTTCAGCTTTAATACTCTTTTATTTATTGCTTCATGTGGATGTCTCTTATTTTGTTTTAATTCCACTCTTGCTTTTCATACTTCTGAATGCTGATGTTCCATCCTTTCTTTGGCGGGTTATTGTTGTAGAACTTGAAGACTAGAGAGATACCTTCAGCACCAGTAGATGGAAATTCGTCCCCCATGCAGTATTCGCTAGGGTCATTTATTCATGGAGAGCCGATTTCTCCTCCTGAAAGATACCCTATTCCTGACTCGAGTTTGAATGAAGGGGATAATGCTGCTTTTCCAACTATTTATGGCAGCCAATCCATTGAACAAAAGAAAGAAACCACGGAAATCACTCGAAACAGCATTGACATTCTTTCTAGCATTTTAAACTCTGAAACAGAACCAAAACCCATCAAGGTAAATTCATTAGTTCTGTCGTGAGGTAGAATTCTATTTATATTATATTCCAATTTTTTGTTATTCTTTTAGATGTGTGCATGTGTTGCTTGCATCATTTTCTACCATTCTTTACCTTTTACTTATTATGCCCCCTTATCCATCTTTCCCTGAATGCGTTTTAGTGGCCTTTCTAATGTATTGACGAAACTACGGTCATTTTGATATTTTAGCACTTTGTGCTATGTTAAATGCAATGAGAAGTCCAAAGGAATCACTGTAAGTGGAAGATTTTATCCCAAAATCCTATGTACCTAATGTAACGAAAGATCAAACTTGTACTTTGTTTGTTTTCTTGTTCTTTTTTTGTTTTTTTAATCTCAATTAAGGATCCATTTGGGCTGGCTGTAGCAAATCTATGGTTGGAGAGATGACGGTAACCAACTATTTTTTTTTTTTTTGGGGGGGTATGCTTGCAGGATGATCTGACGGTAAGCATGCTGGAGAAGTGCAGGCAGTCATTGCCTGCCATTCAGATGATTGTGGAGAGCACCACCGATGATGAAGTTATGCTCTTTGAGGCTCTGAATCTTCACGATCAGCTTCAACAAATCATTTCCAAATACGAGGAAATGAAAGTTGCTCTCTCTTCTGGAGTGGTAGTACCACCAGAAAAATCTGATAGCCCAGAAGCCAATTTGCTATTAATGCAGGCTGGAGGACCTCGTATAGAAACTGAAATGGCAGATTCTCAAAAACAAGAAAGCCCAGAGTCCAACAAAGAAACCGAGAAGCCAGATACCTCAAAAAAAGAAAGTACAGAGTCCAATGTTGATACGAGACGTAGCGAGTGAGGGTAGTTTATGTTTGAAATCGCTGTACGTAATTATTTATGTTGATCTCTGCTAGGTTTGTTGAATTACTTTAATGATTTTGTTGTTTATGGTTCTTTGGAAATACTGGCAAACTCAGTTGCAGTAGTTTCTATTGCGCCATGCTTGCATCAGTTCTTATCTACAGGACTTCGGCCCTGCCCTTGTGTAATCAGAAGTGGTGAGTTTGAATTTCTTTTGGCACCATAACTTGCTGTTGAGGTATATGTATTGTTATTGATGCTATTCTTGACATTGGAACAGGTTTAAATTTTCTTTAGCATATTATTAATATTGACATGGTTTTGGGACCTAAAAGTTATATTATAGGGAAAATTAGTGTAGGGTCCCTCTCCCACTTTTTATAATAGAAGAAATCCACAAAATTATTTTTTGATGTCTAAGGTCCCTAAACATATCCTCTCTTTGTCTCTCCTTCCGTGCCCGATCTAAACGAAGAGCTAACCCCTCATTTTGAATCCTATAGGGATGAAGATAATGATGATGCTGTTTCTGAAACTCGTCTGGACCACCAACCACCACCCCTCTCCTCTTCTCATCGTAACCATTACCAGCTCCAGACTCCAGACTCAATGGGCGTACTGAGAGAGGAAGCTATTGAGCTTCTTGTTACCTCCAGACTCCATTTTCTTGAGCTGGATCTCGGACCACGAATCCATGGTGACCGATCGGACAAAACTGATGTGAACTCCGAGGCCGCGGTGCTTCCCCGAGCACTCTAAGCACATGAACACGCCGTACGACACCGATGCCCATTGTGGATTCTTTTGAGCGCAGTCGACAATCTCAAAGATACAGAGAAGACGGGTTGGTGTCCTTGCATGTGGTGCCTAGTCTGGATGTGAGCTGTAGCTTCGGTGGGTTTACTCTGTTAGATGAAGCTTTGCATATGTGTAGAAAATGAAGTCAGATCTGAGGAACTGGTTTTGCATGGTATTTTGGAATAAAGAAGATGTCTAGTGACGCCTTTTGCTGGGTTCTCCTACTCCTGGTAAGAGACTAGTCATGTTTGAGGTTTGATTACTCAGATTTTCTTCAACGAGAAATTATTCGGTGGATTAAGCAAGCTCCTGGATTTTCTCTGGGTTGTGGAGTCCAGATAAATTCTCTGGGTTGAGAGAATTTCTCTGGAAATATGTCTGGGAATTTTCTCTGGGTTGTGGAGTCCAGAGAAATTCTCTGAGTTGAGAGAATTTCTCTGAAAATATGTCTGGGAATTTTCTCTGGGTTGTGGAGTTCAGAGAAATTCTCTGGGTTGAGAGAATTTCTCTGGAAATATGTCTGGGAATTTTCTCTGGGTTGTGGAGTCCAGAGAATTTCTCTGAAAATATGTCTGGGAATTTTCTCTGGGTTGTGGAGTTCAGATAAATTCTTTGGGTTGAGAGAATTTCTCTGGAAATATGTCTGGGAATTTTCTCTGAGTTGTGGAGTCCAGAGAAATTCTCTGGGTGAGAATCTCTGAAATGTTTGTCTAAGAATTTCTCTGGGTTTGGGGAGTCTAGAGAAATTTTAAAATTTCTCTATAATGTGTCCAGAGAAATTTTTCATTTGTAGAGGCCATATTGGATAGAGACAGTGAGATACAGTCTGAATTTCCTAAAGTTTTGAATGAATATTTCAATTTTTGAGTCCTTTAAATTCTCACTCACACACCAGTAAGCAAGTTAATGTAGGCTTGTGATGATTTTGGTTATAACTTGCGTAGAGTTCTTAGTATAAGGTTGGTAATACTCTCTACTAATTATTACCTATTTGAAATTTCTCCTCTGGACCAAACCAGAGAATTTCTCTGAGTTTGGACCAAAGAATTTCACTGGATCGAATTTTCTCTGGATTGAATTTTCTCTAGATCGAATTTTCTCTAGATTGATGTTGAGAGACCTTAGACATTATAAAAATATTGAGGCCTAGTTTGGGAAGACTAAATAAGTGCACTTTTTGACTTTTTTTGTATTATGTGTAAAAAAAGTAGAGAGGAGATGTTGATTGATGTGACCCAAAAAAGATAAAAAGATGAAATAAGTGCACTTTTTTCTTTGTAGCCAAACTTGGCCTGAGTGTCCTTCATGCTATAAAATCATAATACCAAGGACCTTAAAAAAAAAATCCCTATATTATATGGATAGGATGTAAGGGGCACACACAGGTTAAAATTTCCTTGTACAGAAGAATTAAAATATGCAGTTTTTTGAATTTAGTTTTTTGAAAATTGAATTTTTTATTTTGGTAAAACACCAATAAGTCCTAAATGTTAATGTGTTGAACCATTTGGTCATACCTTTTATTTAGTAGACTAATAAGTCCTGTTTGAACGTTAATTACGTATCTACCCATTTAATTAACACATGACCTTTTGTTGGTAGAGGATAAATGTAAGATTTTAGTAATGTTGTTGTGACCAAAATATCCAAAAAATTACTATAGCCCTTTTAATGTGTTTCCATCAGTAGCAACCATCAGTAACATTACGGTGTGAGTTTAGATGGGTATATATGCAAACATCAGTAGCAAACATCAGTAACGTTGTTCAACAAACACAAACACAAAACATCAGTAACGTCGGTGAACAAACATCTGCTTCGTTACCCCCATTAACATCGTCGTCGTACATAAACACTGCAAGTTACGCCAACGATTCAGTCATCCCTGGAGTTGCTAATGTTGATGATGTTGCTAACATTAATCATGTTGATGATGTCACTGAAGTTGCTGATGTTGATGATGTTATTGATGTCGCTGATGAAGGCCAAACGTTGTCGTTGCGATGTTCATTCCGGAAATACCAGTCGTGTACATTGTGATGTATGTATGTATTCGGAAATACCAGTCGTTGTCCATGTTGATGTTCATTGCGAATACACTGCAACGTTGATGTTCATTGCAAACGTTGATGTTCATTCCGAACAAACATCATTAGAACAAACATCAAACATCTCCTTTTCCCAAAGCTCTAACCCGAACATCATCAAGAAACATCAAACATCATATACAATATATCAAGGACAAACATTGAAAAAGTCATCAAAATGAAACATTCAGAACATCTCCTTTTCCATTTATCAAATAAAGAATAAACATCTCATTTTCCAAACATCAAACATCATCAGAACAAACATTCAGAACAAACAAAACCTCCATCTCTGATGATCTAAACCAAGGATGTCCCAAGCTCACCGATCTCTCTCTACTTTCGCTCTGTCTAGATCCTTCGCTGATCCACATCGATCCAGTACCACCGCCGTGAGATCGTGAGAGTCGTCGCTTCGTCACCGCTTGTCTGCTTCCTAAAGTTTTGAATGAATATTTCAATTTTTGAGTCCTTTAAATTCTCACTCACACACCAGTAAGCAAGTTAATGTAGGCTTGTGATGGTTTTGGTTATAACTTGCGTAGAGTGCTTAGTATAAGGTTGGTAATACTCTCTACTAATTACTACCTGTTTGAAATTTCTCCTCTGGACCAAACCAGAGAATTTCTCTGAGTTTGGACCATAGGATTTCACTTGATCGAATTTTCTCTGGATCGAATTTTCTTTGGATCGAATTTTCTCTAGATTGATGTTGAGAAACCTTAGACATTATAAAAATATTGAGTGTCCTTCATGCTATAAAATCATAATACCAAGGACCTTAAAAAAAAAATCCCTATATTATATGGATAGGATGTAAGGGGCACACACAGGTTAAAATTTCCTTGTACAGAAGAATTAAAATATGCAGTTTTTTGAATTTAGTTTTTTGAAAATTGAATTTTTTATTTTTTGTAATTTTTTTGTATTTAGTGAATATTTAAAAAAATTTAAGTATTTTTTATATTTTTTTAGATGTATTTTACTTAAATGTATTTAAAAATATATATATATTTGCGAAAAAAATATTTTAAAAAATTAATAAATATATAAAAATGTGAAAAATATACTAATTTTTTATAATTTTTTTACATTTTTGGTATTTAGTGAATTTTTAAAGATTTTTTAACAAAATTATATTTTTTAAATGTATTTATGTTAGGGAAAATTGGCCTAAGGTCCCTCCTCTACTTTTGATATGAGGAGAGGTCCTTTATAATATGTTTTGATGGCTAAGGTCCCTCAAATTTATTTTTAAAAAATTGAAAACAAACCCAATGAATAAGATTTTTAACCTACTTTGTCCTAATACTAGGGTCTATTTTTTAATTGAAAAAAAGGACCCGAATCTATTGTGTAGATTATAAAAAATATAATAAAAAATAATTAAATGCACAGCTGGAAATGTTGTATTTTGCCAGCTTCCAATTTCACTATTCAAAGTTTTACTTGTCACGGGAATTTTGAAGGGAAAATCGGTCTAGAGTCCCTCTCTCACTTTTCATAATGAAAGAGATTTACAAAATTATATTTTGATGTCTAAAGTCCCTAAACATATATTAGAGAAATTTCAGTCCTTCCATCTGACCCGCGTCAACGACCACCTCCGTGAAAACGCATCCTCATCATCAATGCCTGGTTTGCAGCTTTCTGATCTCTTCGAAGAGGAGCTACTTGCAAAGCATTATCAAAACTAAACTGTCAACAGAATTAGAAAATCTCAATTTCACAAAACTCATACATGTCACAAGAGTTGTTTCAGTGATTTTTTTAGGGTTTGAACTACTACATGAAAGGGTTGTCAAATCTTGTTTTAGTCAAGGATATGACGCCCATTCAATGCGTCCTCAAAATAACGACACGAGTCCATTCTCATCTCCGTGCTCATGTCATTCTCCGGTGCCGGGTAATAATCTTCTCTCAGCTGCACATCTCTCAGATTCGGAATCCTTAGAAGGAACATCATGAAATGCTCGTGTGCAGTTCCTTGGATAAACAGCTTCTTCAGTGTTTTGCATGGTATTTTTGGAATAGAGAAGATGGCCGGTGATGCCATTTGATGGGTTCTCCTCCTTCTGGTAAGAGACTAGTCATGTTTGAGGTTTGATTACTCTGATTTTCTTCAACGAGAAATTATTCGGTGGATTAAGCAAGCTTCTGGATTTTCTCTGGGTTGTGGAGTCCAGAGAAATTCTCTGGGTTGAGAGAATTTCTCTGGAAATATGTTTGGAAATTTTCTCTAGGTTGTGGAGTTTAAAGAAATTCTATGGGTGAGAGAATCTCTGAAAATAAAGGGCAATATGCTTGATTGACTTTAGGTTACCAGTTTATCGAGATGATGACAATGACTTGGCAAATGGTCATGATACTCTGTCATCGTCAGCACCAGATCAACAATACAAGGTAGATGTTCACTCTGGTGTTGAACTTCTTCTTAATTTTTGTACGGTAAAATCCGAAATATGTTCCAACCAAGATGGTGAAAGCACCACCCAAAAATAGAAAGCAATTTCTCTTTGTCACAACAAAGGCTATGCAGTTGAGAAATGCAGCAACAGCAAGAATGAAATACACAATTCCCTGCAAAATTGGAATGAGAAATGAAACTTATTATAAATGTTTCAGACTTTTAGAAACAGATATGACAACTGAAATGTAGGAATGAATATACAGAACAAAAAATGATTCGGTGTCCCCAGTACTTAAAACTAAAAATTGGGCCAGAGAAATTCTGAGAATAATTAGACTTTCCAGAGAATTTTGGTCTGAAATTTCTCTGGACTAATTTTCTCTAGATTGAAATTTCTCTGGACCAATTTTCTCTGGATTGATGTTGAGGGACCTTAGACATCATAAAAATATTTGATGTCCTTTATACTATAAAATTATAATATCAAGGACCTTAAAAAAAATACCCTAATTTTGAATGGAGTTGTTGAAACTGCAATTTAAGAAATATAATTTTAAAATAAAATTAATCATAGCATCTCTATGGCTGTATTTGGTACAACTTTTCTATTACAATTCCACCCCCTCATATGAATAAGGTGTTTAGATAGAGTTTTTAAAAATTAATCTCACAACACATTTCAAAACACATTTATGTTTCATGTTTAGCAGAGCTCTTTCCAAAACAAACTTCTAATGCAAAGCTCTGACATTTTTCGTACATTTTTTGAATTTTTTGAGTCTATCGGTCATCTCCCTGGACATCCTCCTGTATATCGGTTGACTGTTTTTTTTTTTTTACTTTTTCTTTTTTCTAATATTATTATTTTATTTTTTTTAAGAAATAAATTGATAACTCTTTCATGCATACATACATGTGACCTTCATAAATGCTCCTTTTTGGGTTGGTTCCACCAGTGGTAAGTTCACTACTGCTATAGCCTTTAAACTTATTGCTCTCCAGGACATGAGTGGTGGGGATTGGAACTGGATCTGGAAACTCAAAGTCCCTCAAAAGCTGAAAACTTTAATCTGGCTTATTCTTAAGGGAAGGTTGCTCACTAAACACTTGAGACTCGTAAGGAATATGGCCTCAACTGACTTGTGCCCCAGATGTGGATTAGCTAGTGAAGACGTGATCTCCTTCGAGAGTGCAACTCCTCAAAAAACATTTGGGTTCAAATAAAGGTTACTAAATGGGGAGAGGATGGACGTGGTCAGCCACCTTTTGAATGGGTTACTAAGAGTCTGTTTGGCAACGTTTACGTTTTTAGTTTATATTTACAAAAATATTGTAAACTGATTTTTGTTTATTTTTAGAAAAATATAAACTATAAACACGTTTGGTAATTGACAAAATGTTTTAAAAAAATTAAAAATATAAAAAAAAGTGAGAAATGGCAAGTGGTGGCACGTGGCGGCGGAAGACGGTGGTGAAAAGTGGTGACGGTAGGTGGTGGGTAGCGGGTGGTGGTGGTGGTGGCAGGTGGGTGGCGGATGGCAGGTGGTGGTGGGTGGTGACGGGTGGGTGGTGGTGGCGGGTAGGTGGTGGTGGTGGCAGGTGGGTGGCGGTGGGTGGGTGGGTGACGGTGGCGGGTGGTAAGTGGTAGCGAGTGGGTGGTGGTGGTAGTGGGTGATAGGTGGTGGTGGTAGGTAGGTGGCGAGTGGGTGGTGGGTGATGGTGGTGGTGGTGGGTAGTGGTGGCGGGTAGGTGGCAGGTGGCTGGTGGTGGGTGGTGGATGGCGGTGGCAGGTGGGTGGTGGTGGTGGGTAGGTGGCAGGTGGGTGGTGGTGGTGGAAGACAGTGGTGGAAAATGGTGACGGGTGGTAGCTAGTGTTGGGTGGTAAAAAAAAAAAAAACTCAAAACTCAAAACAAAAACACATTTTTTCAGTTTATATTTTTTGGCCAAATTTATAAACTGAGACTACTGATTTATAAATCAAAAATTTGCCAAACAAGTTTTTATTTGAGTTTTTAAAATTTTTATAAATATAAATAGAAAACTGAAAACGTAAGTGTTACCAAACGGTACCTAAGAATTTGAAAATTAAAACCCAGTATTTTGGTACAAACTGGTATATTTTTTTCATTGTTACACTTTGGCAGTTATGGAAGGATCGAAACAAACTTGTTTTTGAAAACCAATCTATACTTATTCAAATCAGTCTCGAGAGCATAAAAAATTATGTCCATGAAATTGATGAGGCCTTCCAATCTATCCACCACCTCGAATCCCTCTCATCATAGACTAATCAAATGGTTTTGTCCACCTACAGGAAAGCTGAAATTGAATGTTGATGGCTGCTCAAAATGAGACATCGAACAAGCTGGATATGAAGGACTGCTGAGGGACGAAATTGAGATATGGGTACGGGGATTCTATGGAAAGCTAGGCCACTGCTCAAGCCTTGAAGTCAAATTATGGGCTGTCTACATGGGCCTAACCATCCTCTTCCAAAAAGGTACCAAAAATGCGGAAATCGAAACTGATTAAGCACTGACAATCAACCAGATTCAAGATGGCCTAGGCCCCAACTCACCTTCCAAAGCTCTCATTGAAGACGCTAAATTCTTGCTGAATATGTGCAATTGTTCTCTGCGCCACACCCTATATAGAGAGGGGAACAAATGTGCTGATAAACTTGCTAACTTAGATGTTGCACAAGCTAAACATGTGTTACTTGCACACCCTCCTAAGCAACTGAAGCAGTTGATCATGGATGACTTAACTGGAATCAGTGAGATGAGAAACTTATCTGTTTTTATTGTTTTTGCTTTGCTCCTGTTTTTCTATTTCCTTTGAATTTAAAAAAAGAAAAAAAACATACATATGTTTGCGTTATCGTAGACTAATTTCCTGTTGAAAGCAAATAAAAAAATTCAAATAAAATTTAATTATGTGTGGTAAACTGTGTAGATGCTAACAAAATGATATTCTAATTTTTGTTTGACTCCTACATAGATAATATCTGATAATTTTTTTGGCTATTTATTTAAAAAATAACAATACAATAAATAACAAAAAATTTGTGACAGTCATTATTAAAAATATAAAAATATTTTAATTGAAAAATATTTTAAAAATTTGAACCAAATATACAATCAAAAGTTATTTTAATTAGTAATTGAATATTTATTTTGGGAAAAAAATTATTGCCTTTGTAATATTTTTAATTAAAAAAATTGATTAATGTTATTTTTTTGTTAATAATTAATTTTTTAATTGAATTTTAAAAAGAGTTTACTTATGAGTGTTGATCATAATTTTTAATAGAATTTTGAGTAATATATTTAGTTATGAGTTATAACAATTTGCATTAAGTTTTGAAATCTTTTTTCAAAACTTATAACTAATTTTTTTTTCTTATTTCACATGTCACATCAAACATTAAAAACTCAACTCAAAACTCTTTTCAAAACTTATAATCAATTTTTTTTTATACTCAAATAATAATTTGAAAACTCACACACTCAAAATACAATTATATTATCAAATTAGAAACTCTACCAACCGGCCTATGTTTTTATTAAAATTTTACTTTAACATGTTTATTTTTAATTATAACGGTTAGTCTTTCTTGAAAAAATATGCACAAGATAGAAAATAATTTTGCCCTTTTAGGTTAAGTTTGACATATTATAAAAAAGTTAAAAAGTCAAAAAATTACTAAAAAAGTTAAAAAGTTAACACTATTCACCAAAAGTTAACAATTATTTCACAACTCCCAATCCTAATTTTTCTTTACAAATCAATTTTTACAATTTTTTATTACACATTTTTTCATAAAAAGTCAAAAAATTAACCCAATCATCCATATTTTCTTTCTCAATTTTTTATTCAAAAAAGACAAAAAGTGCACTTATTTAGGACACTCCAAACAACCCCTTAGTTTCGACTTCTGAGAGAAGCTTTTGTCCTTGGGTCTTGTTTGGATGATGAGTTTTTTTTTAATCAACTTTCAATTACAATCCCTTTTTTTTTTTCTTTCTCTTTTTTTTTTTTCCCCGAGTTTATTGGCGTCTTTTTTTTTTCCCCTAATGTACTCCTAATGTAAAGAAAATTAAAATTAAAAGCTAAAAAGGGGTCAAAAAAAAAAAAAAAAAAAAAAAATAGAGTCAAAATCAAATAAAAACGCACATCCAAACGAGGCGTTTCACAGTTTTACATAAATACCCTCGCTTCTCCGCATAGGCAGAACAGATTCAGCAGGGACATAAACGAGATTTTACGCGTACACAAGCCTCACACAACCAAAAAGATCGTGGTGTAATAGAGAGAGAGAGAGAGAGAGAGAGAACAGTCCATTGTTTTCGTGTTTCTCATTTCTGTAAAAAAATTCTCACATGTCACTCACTCTCGTCTCCGTAAAATTTCCCCTGGTGGCTAGTCCAAACCCCCGCCAAATCTCCACTCTCTCCCACTTGAAATCCCCAAACAACATCGCATCCGCGAAACCCTAGCTTCCTTCCCAACCTAGGGTTTTTAGGGTTTCGAACCATGCCGTCCCTTCCATCTCCGGGCAAAATCCTCCGACTTGAAATCGAAAACTTCAAGTCCTACAAAGGCCTCCAATCCATTGGCCCCTTCTTCAACTTCACTGCCATCATTGGCCCTAATGGTGCCGGAAAATCCAACCTCATGGACGCTATCAGCTTCGTTCTCGGCGTCCGTACCGGTCAACTCAGGGGCTCCCAATTGAAGGACTTGATCTACGCCTTTGACGACAGAGACAAGGAGCAGAAGGGTCGAAGGGCGTTTGTCAGGCTGGTGTATCAGTTGGGCAGTGGGACTGAGATTCAATTCACTCGCACTATCACGAGTTCTGGAAGTAGCGAGTACAGGATCGATGGGAGGGTTGTGAATTGGGACGATTACAATTCTAAGTTGAAGTCTCTGGGAATTCTCGTCAAGGCTCGCAATTTTCTCGTTTTTCAGGTGCATTTACATCTTGTGTTGCTTGTATTTGAATTTGGGTTTTTTTGGTGCTTAGGGAGAGAAAAGAACTGAAAGGAAACTAAATTTTTTGAAGAAGTAGAAAGAAGTTGAGGGGAGAAAGAGATAAAATAACTGTGAAGAAACTAAAATTTGGATAAATAATTTGTTAAGGAGAAAAAATTGTGAAGAAACAATAGATTTGGGTAAATAAACTAGAAAAGGACCATGTAGATAATTTAAGTTAGAAAAACTATAGAGAAATTATAATTTTTATTATTGTGTTCTTGAAGAATCCCTCATTCTTCTTCTACTTTTTTAAAAAAAAAAAATAAAAATAAAAAAAAATTCAGAAAATGGCACAAAACATATACACATTCTCAAACATACAAGTAACATGTTTTATGTGTATCTAGTTGTAATGCAGCGATGATCAATTTTTATACCAAAAGTTGCATACCAAATGATGTGTCAACACTGCATCGATGGATGCAGTGGATTCCATCTTCCATACATTTTTCCAATGCATAGTTTTAGTATAAAAATTTGGTTATCGTAGCACTACTCATATAGTATGTACACGAATCCAACAAACATTTATGTGATTGACATAATGCTTAAAATCATGCAAATCCCTCCTTCCTGACCCTCTCCTTTCCCCCATTTTTTAGGTTCAGAATTATACCCATTATAGGACATCGCATTACACTTATGAATACTTTTAACTGAAAGCATGAAGCTGAAGCCTCTTCCTAATCAATTATCAACTTTTTTCATGTAGGGTGATGTTGAATCAATTGCATCTAAAAATCCCAGGGAACTTACTTCACTTCTTGAGCAAATCTCTGGATCTGATGAACTTAAGGGAGATTATGAGGAATTGGAAGAACAAAAAGCCAGAGCTGAAGAAAAATCTGCACTTGTTTATCAGAAAAAAAGAACTATTGTTTTGGAGAGGAAGCAGAAGAAAGAACAGAAAGAAGAAGCTGAAAAACATCTTCGCTTGCAAGATCAACTGGTATGCATGATAACTCATCATCAATGGATTATAATACAATGTCTTTTATAGATTCTGTATTTGTTGATACTATGTTTTACCCCCACAACTTCTTGATTTAATCCATAGTGTAACATTCATATCTAATTTTTCTCGTCACATGAAACTTGAAAGATAACTATTTAGTTTTCCCCTCAGTTTAGCGGAGTTTGATTAATTAAATATAGAGCAAATTTTATTTTATTATTGTTTTTGGCATCCTTTATTTTAATAAAAATATTTACTTTACAGGTTTAGTTGTCTGTTTTCAGATTTGTCTGTTTGAAGTGGTGGCACTGTAAATATCTTTGAGTTGCTCTTGCAAGTAGCCTGACAAAAAGTGTCCAATGCCCCAATTTTTTTTGAAAACATGAAATAAACCATGTTTGGTAACTGTTTTTGTGGTGGAAAAAGTAGCAATAGTTTTTAAAATTTTGAAAAAAAAATGAAAACAAAAATGTGTCTGGCTGATCTGGCAACCTTTCTTGTCACTCCCCTTTCCGACGACCCCTGGTCACTCTCCAGCAAGTCCTCCGCTCCGGCAATCCTTCTTCCCCATAAGGTTCCTCTTGTTCACTCCGTTAGCCCCTTCAGACCAACCCCCCTTAACCTCCTCCGGAAGGCCACCAAACATATTTGCTTTATTTACTTATTTATTTTTTTCCATTTATTTTCAAAGCATCTTTGTGTACCATGATTCCTTTTTTTTTTTTTTGGGCAAAAATTGAAAACTGGTGATGTTACCAAACATAACCTTATGTTTTGATTTTATCATGTTATCTCTAACTGTTCCGTATCTCAACAACAGTTAGTGTCTGTCTTTGAGAATATAGGATGGATACTTAGTGGAGTTCTGGTTTGTTTAATATGATTAGTGATTTTATATGTAATCTCTCTCTCTCTCTCTCTCTCTCTCTCTCTCTCGATCTTGGTCACTCACATGTGTGCACGCACACACAGACACCATGATCGAGAGAGAAAGAGAGAGAGAGACATGCTTGTTCTCCTATCATTTACAATTTTTTAAGCTGTGGAAGAGTTTGATATCTGCAATAGTTTCCTTAAAACTTGTGGCCTTTTAGATTGTTGTACTGCATCCACTAAGATGGTATGATAATAGAATCTTATTTCTGAAATCTTTGGCAGTTAAGAAGTCTCTTAATGACGACTCTTTCCTTCTCTCTATCATGCAGAAAGCTTTGAAGAAGGAACACTTTTTATGGCAACTGTGGAATATAGAGAACGACATTGAGAAGGCTAATGAAGACATTGAAACTGAAAAGAAAAGCCGTGAAGAACTTGTGCAGGAAGTAACAGATTATGAACATGAAGCAAGCATAAAGAAGAAAGAACAGGCTAAATATTCAAAAGAGATTGCACAATGTGAAAAGAAGGTTGCTGAAAAAATAAGTAGACTCGATAAGAATGTGAGTCCCTGCCCTTCCCATTCACTGTCATTGTTTTGTTTTGTTTTTTGGGTTCTAAATTGTGGTCTTTCCTTTGTAAGTGTCAGGTAAGCAAAGTTTGTATACATGGCTTGGTATGTTTGGTTTGACACTGTTCTTGCGGGGAGTTTTGGCACTCATCTACTTAAATTGCAGGGTGTTGGGTTTAGGGGGCCTGGGATGGCTAAATTCCCCGACTCAATTCTATTTGACCAAACCCGATTCTAATAGAAAATGTTTGAGAGAGCTTTGATAGGGTAGGGTCGATTATAAGGGTAGGTAGGTCAAAACTATTAGGGATAGGGTAAAGTATGAAGTTGTATCACTAAACTAGTTAAAGTTTAAAATCAAAAAATCGTGCACAAAAAACCATAAAAAATTTGACCTGTTGCATTCCCTCAGGTGGCAAACTTTTTGTTGCATCTTTAAACATTTCAACAGGTGATTTATTGTAAACTGATGGGGAAATAAGACATCATTTATTGTAAACTGTTGGGCGCTTCATGTTATTTATATATTTATTAATAAGTTGTTTTTCTGTCTGGGAGAAAAGGGGGGGAGGGGGTGGTGAGGTGAAGGTATGATCAATTTTTGGTTTATCATTTCAGCTAAATTCCTTATTATACATATACATGGTTAGGTTGAAGCTAATGGATCTGAGCAACTTTATTTGACGAAGTAATTTATAGGAGGTTTGTTTATTTATTAATTTGATGAGGGTTTCATGGTCTCTTTGTGGTAGAACTTCATCAATGCTGAGAAACACTAGTGAGGCGTGTCTATCTATCAGGATTATATAAGCATGCCAGAGTATAAAATCACTAAATTTGGCAAAAAATTGTTAATGTAAGGAAAATCAGTTGGATTATTTTATAGTTATTTTAATGAAATTTTCAGCAATTTGATACGTATGGATGATTTGTCCTTGAACTTATAATTTACTTGTCAAATAAATTCAAATTAAGGAGTAATTTTTTGCATAACATGCTCCTAAGGTTTTATGTGCCATTGCGTGACTTCTATGATTTGATTTTGTTATGTTTTCCTTATTTTGGCCATTTTCTGCATCTTATAGAGTTTTCTTCGGATGTACAAGTATATTGTGGAGACATTCCACACGGACTTCAGCCTCTATCTTTTAAATTTTGCACTTGTCCACAGTTTGTTGCAAACGACATTTGAATATTTGAGTTTCACTTTATTGAGAGCCCAGTAGTAACAGCTTATATTTTATGCTGGTACTTTCTCTTTGCAGCAACCTGAGCTTGTAAAACTAAAGGAGGAAATGTCTCGCATCAACTCAAAAATCAAAAGTAGTGAGAAGGAGCTTAAGAAAAAGAAAGAAGAAAGAAAGAAGCATGCAGATGAAATAAAAAAGCTGCAGAATGACTTACATGATATGACTAAAAAACTGGATGAGCTACATGAAAAAGTTCAAGATGGTGGTGAAAAACTTCAGTTGGCCGACAGTCAACTAGAGATATACCATCAAATGTAAGTCCTATGGGTTCTTTTCAACTTATGGAGCATGGAGTCTTACTTGCTATATGTTCTGTGTCTATTTTGTAGTTGGGGCATTAGTGTCTTCTGGCTCAAACATGAGTTCTTTCTTCAAAGTGTTTTTGAAGTTTGGACTAGTTGTCGCCTTGACCTTTCCTTAGAGGAAAAGGGTTACCTCAACGAGCATCAGGAGGAGTCTTGAGAGGAAAAGGGTTGCCTTGGCAAGCATCAGACTCTTGACGCTTGTCGATACATGTTGAGGCAACACTTTTCCTGTCATTTTTGATGAGGATGAAGTGAATAATCTCGATTGTTGTAATTGTTATTTTGATGGCATGTTTAGGTTTTCTCTACACAAGGTGAGCTTTCATTGATGTGCAAACTCTTTTGATATGGTAGTTGAAGAGTTATGGTAATACTAAAAATTTCCGGGAGATGCTTGAATTACTAAAAGTTATTGCATAAGACTGTATCATGAGAAAGAATATCTCTGCAACTTTTTCTAGCAAAAACTACGTATTTATTTATGTTCTAAGGTATGAGAAATCCACCATTTCAAAATTTTAGTTGGCCATTGCACTGTTTACTTGTCATATACCCTGTCTTTGCAGCAATACTAGTTTGATCACTTTACTTAATCAATTGACTTTGATAAAGGTTATCAATGAAAAAAACACTTCATTGTAAATTTGATATTGCAGCAAGGAGGAGGCTGGCATGAAAACCGCAAAGCTAAGAGATGAGAAAGAGGTTCATGATAGGCAACAACATGCTGATACTGAAGCTCAAAAGAATTTGGAAGAAAATCTTCAACAGCTGGAAAGTCGGAAGGAAGAGCTGGAGTTGCAGGAGGAACAGATGCAAGCAAGACTAAGAAAGATTCTTGATGCTGTTGGGAAACACAAGGAAGAACTCACACGAGTGAGAAAGGAGCAGCGTGAGATGAAAGAAAAACTTGGAAATTCAAGGTTAGTCAACTTGACGATGTATGATATTATATTACTTATCGGTTTTTGTGAATGTCAGTTTATGTCTTGTGTCCACCTATTCTGCCATAGGCATATGTTGGTCTATTCTCGTGCTGCACCTATTTTACATTTCAGTATGAGTGGTTATTCTGTATTTGAATACGTTCTGAACTTATAATAGGTTATTCTGTTCTGTTACAGGCGCAAATATGAAATGTTGAAGGCCAAAATTGGTGAAGTTGATAGCCAATTACGTGAATTGAAGGCTGATAGATATGAAAATGAGAGGGATGCAAAGTTATCTGAAGCAGTTGAGACTCTCAAGAGCCTGTTTGCAGGTGTCCATGGTCGCATGACTGATCTTTGCAGGCCAACACAGAAAAAGTATAACCTTGCTGTCACTGTGGCTATGGGCAAATTTATGGATGCAGTAGTAGTTGAGGATGAACATACAGGAAAGGAATGCATCAAGGTACGTATGGAATCAGTTTATGCTTAGTTTTGCCCCTACTTGTTCATACTTGTTATAGGATGTGATCACGTGAACCTATTCTTATATTTACTTGGAACAGTGTCATACTTGGCATATAGACTGCCCATATAAAGTTGTTCTATGACACATACTTAGCCACGACAATTATAGATCAACATTCTCCTGAGAGGCGCTCTCACCCTCTATTTAATCTGAAGTATGCCGCTTATCTCACTTGATCAATTATTTTTAATTTGGTGGCTAGGAGATTTGTGCTTTGCTACTCCCTTTGCTTGGGACTGAGTGGGCTTTTCATCAGTTTTGGAACAGGTGTATTGGTCTGTTGCAAGGATGTTAATGGATTGGATACAAGTATTCCAAATTCATGATTGATCTTTTGTATTGGTCAATCTGATTCATTATTTTTTCTGAATATTTTTGCTAATATTAAAATCATGGGGCAGCGTTTAATAGAATGCAAATAGTTATCTTTGTTTGCTCTGCTGTTTTATATTATGTTTATGGTGTATTTGTTTCAATATTTAACGTTTTAAATGTGGTTGGATCTTGTCCACTACTTGTTCAGGATTTAAATCCAAAGTTCTGAAATTATCTTGAGTTTTGAGGAGAAGAATTTCAGAAATATATAATTGTAGCCCATGAAGATCACTACAATTGTAATGATGATTAATTTGGTTTGCTTGTCAGCATCTGAAAGAAAGAAGGCATCCTCCGCTGACATTTATACCTCTTCAATCTGTCCGTGTAAAGCCAATCATTGAGAAGTTACGAACCTTACGTGGTACTGCGAAGCTGGTCTTTGATGTCATCCAATATCCTTTTTTTCTGGCTTGGGAAGTTCACTATAAAATCATGATCACATGACAATTCATGTTAGCAATCCTGTTTATATGCATAATCTTATAATTGAGTTTTGTAGATCAGTAAGATTTCATACGTGCTTCACTTTTTGAGTTTTCTGTACTCACTGCCTGTATATCAATAGGATTTTGAGCGTCTTCTTCTTTATCTTCTTCTTACTTATTTCATTATTGCAATTTGGATTTTATAGTTGTACATTTTATAGAATCACTTGCTTCTTTGGTGGTTCTCTCTTAGCAAATGTTACTCTCTCTCTTTCATTTTTTAAATACTGAACTTTGTATTTCTAGGTACAAACACTTAGATTTGTTTCTAACTTCAATTGTGCGTGTTCAAGTGTATTATGCTTTATCTAATGTTGATTCTCCTGAACTTAAAGAATTTGTTGCCTGGTAATGACTGCCTGATTTTTTTGGATGATCTTGATGGAGTCTCTTAGGTATTTTGGTGTTCTTATTCATTTGCAGAACCAACTTCACCAGCATTCTGATATATTTATGTACTTGTACACTTTGCTTTGTCATTTCATTTGTGCTGATAACACTTACGATACCTGATATTTTAGATATTTTCTGTGTTTTTGGAGATTGAGATAGACGCTCTTAGAGCTCACTCCAACTCATTCTTTGATGTTCATACATAATTCTCTGTTCTTGGAGAAGGCTTGATGTTTTATCCACTTTGAACTTGCTTATGCTTTTGTTTTCAAATATACTATATAATACTGCAAGGACAATAAAAATGTATGGAGTATAAAGTTGTAACTTAACAATCACACTTTCAATCCAGCCTTGGAGAAGGCTATTTTGTTTGCTGTCGGGAATACCTTAGTCTGTGATGATCTTGGTGAAGCTAAGGCTCTAAGTTGGAGTGGAGAGCGGCATAAAGGTATCTATGTTTACTTGATTTGATTCATTTTTTTGGGTGTCATTTCCATTTGGTTATATCTGAAACATGAATGTTTATTTCCTGCAGTTGTGACTGTTGATGGGACTCTACTGACGAAGTCAGGTACAATGACTGGTGGTACAAGTGGTGGAATGGAAGCAAGGTCACATAAATGGGACGATAAAAAAATTGAAGGTTTGTGGAATGATGTATCAGTGCTTTTTTAAGCTTTAATGCAATAGTATAATTTTTTCTATATTGCAGGACTTAAAAAGAAGAAAGAGGGGTTTGAGTTGGAATTGGAAGAGCTTGGGTCAATTAGAGAGATGCAGCTGAAAGAGTCTGAAGCATCTGGGAAAATTAGTGGACTTGAAAAGAAGATTCAGTATGCTGAGATTGAGAAGGTAACTGAAAGTCTGAAATGATTAATATCGTGTTATGAAAACATTTGCAGATTTGTACCTTTTATGGGCTTTTTGAATTGAGGCAGTCTAAATTTGACTTTCGCTATGAACTGAATGAGTAATGCATATTCTTGTACAATTGGTTACTAAGAACTGTTTGTTGCAGAAAAGCATTGAGGACAAACTTTCAAAATTGAAGCAGGAAAAGGATAATATCGAAGAAGAAATTCATCGTAGTAGTCCTGAACTTCATAAGGTCCTTTGGTGACTATTCTATGCATCTAGTGTATTGCAGTATTGACTGTACTCACAATTGACTTGGATGGGTTCTACCGTTTGCAGTTAGAAAAAGCTATTACTGAAAGGGCTTCAAAGATCTTGTCACTAGAGAAGAGGATCAATGAGATTGTCGACCGGATCTACAAGAAATTTAGTGAGTCTGTTGGGGTGAAAAACATTCGCGAGTATGAGGAAAACCAGCTCAAGGCTGCTCAAGAAATGGCTGAAGAAAGGTTTAACTTGAGAAGTCAGCAGTCAAAGTTGAAGTACCAGTATGTCATTTCCTGACGTGCTTCTGTTTTTATTTTTATAGCCGATCCCATTTGATTGGGGCACATGGCTTAGTTTGGTTTGGTTATTGTATGGGCTTACCTCCTTTGCTTATTCAGTACCCTAAGTATTGGGTTTTACATGCCCCCTCCCTGCTTTTCAGGTTGGAGTATGAACAAAAGCGGGACATGGATTCTCGAATTACAAAGTTGGAATCTTCTCTCAGTGCTTTAAGAAATGCTTTAAATGAGGTTGTTGCAAAAGAGGATGAACTTAAGTCAGCATTGGGGAAAGCTACTGATGACGTCAATCATTTGAAGGAGGAAGTAAAGGGTATGTTTTCAGCTTCTCAAGATATTCTATGAAGTTTACTATGTTACTAACAAGGTATAACCTGATGTGTGTGTCCTCTTTTTTATTTTTTATAAGTAGCATAAAGTGAGCTTTTAAGCAATATTTGGTGTAATGATTTTATCATTTTCTTGTTCAATTGTTTGTTTATACTTCTTGTTACTTTTGCTTTCATGAATTGTGTGAGGTGTAGGTTTTTTCTTCTTTATCTGTATCGTAGCATAGTCAAGTCTACTTCTGATGTTGTGCTGTCTCAGCACATTGCTGCTGCGATGGCCAACTATACTTGATGCGTATTTTATTGCCTCTACTCATCCAATGTTTTAAATTTGTAACATTGAATGTTTGTCGTGTTTACTTCATTGGTTTATGTTATTTCATTTTCATTATATTATGTGCTGCTGGTCCATTACACATTCCAATTATATCCACAGTAGTTTACAGAGGCTTGGAAGTCATTAGTTTAGTTGCTGGTAGTTTGGGCTAAAGATTCATATTATAGGAGAAAAGTAGTGGAAGTATTTTGAGGCGTTACTTTGCATAGTGAAAATTTACGGAACTTTTTATCTTTATGGAAAAAGTTTCAGTTGTATGACTACTTTGATCCGGTTGGGGTATATTTTGCCAATTACCATTGATCTTTTTTCTTTTCCTAATATGGCTTAATATAATTTCTGCTACTTGTTTTTTCTCCTTGTCTTCTTCAATAGAATGGAAGTCCAAGTCAGAAGTTTGTGAGAAGGATATTCAGGAATGGAAGAAGAAGATTTCTAATGCTACGACAAGCATAAGTAAACTTAATCGTCAAATAAAATCAAAGGTTTGGCTGAATTGTGAGTTCTATTGTGAGGTTTTGGACATAATATCAATTAAAGATTATGCCACCAAACTTGTTTTTCTGGTTTTACAGGAGACTCAGATTGAGCAGCTGAATTCTCAGAAGCAAGAGATTTTGGAGAAATGTGAACTGGAGAACATAATCCTTCCTACTATCTCTGATCCAATGGATACTGAATCTCCTACACCAAGCCCAGTTCTTGATTTTAGCGAACTAAGTAGATCTCAACTGCAGGACAAGCGATCTTCTCAGAGAGAAAAGCTTGATGCCGAATATGCCAAAAAAATTGATGCCCTAGTATCGGAAATTGAAAGAACAGCTCCAAATCTGAAGGCCCTGGACCAATACGAGGCTCTGCTGGAGAAGGAAAGAGCTGTAACCGAGGAGTTTGAAGCTGTGAGGAAAGAAGAGAAAGAAATAACCGACAAGTATAATGCAGTGAAGCAAAGGAGGTAATAATGAATACAATTGGTCCTGCTGTGGATATAACTCCTAGTTGGAACTTTATTATTTACAAATTATGATGTTTTTATCAGACATATTATTAGTGATACTCTGTACTTATGGAAAAAGAGTTCAGTCTGACAAACCAGCATACCCATCAGCATTTTGCAGGAAGATAAATTTAAGTTTTAAATCCTTTGCTTGAATGATTGTTTTATGAATCGAATTAGCTGTGTTGTCCGGAATTTATTCTTGCAATTCCTACTTGTATAATGATGCTGGTACCTTGTTTTCTTTGGGTCTGTGGAGTATATTTACTCGCATGAAGTGTAGAAAGGAAATTATAGTTTATGTGCGATTTTACATATTCAAGTCATGAACTTGTTAAGCTCTTTATGTTTCTTCTTTGTGCCATATTTCTGGGTTACCTAGTATATTTACAGTGATGGAACTGTAGTTAAAACTTAATTTGGTGGAAACAGGTATGAATTGTTTATGGAAGCTTTCAACCACATTTCTGGTATTATTGACAAAATCTACAAACAACTTACGAAGAGTAGCACGCACCAGCTTGGGGGGACAGCATATTTGAACTTAGACAATGAGGACGAACCATTCTTACATGGCATCAAATACACTGCTATGCCCCCAACAAAGCGATTCCGTGATATGGAACAGCTATCTGGTGGGGAGAAGACTGTTGCAGCACTTGCATTACTTTTCTCCATCCACAGGTACATTGGAATTTGTAGATGTTTATGTGCGTGTTTTGTAGGAACCTTATCATATATAAGAAAGCATGGCCCTCCTCTTACTCGCTCACTCTACATATATGTCTAGACTATTATCTAAAGCAAACACCAGAGTTCGTGTGGTTGTCTCAGATTTCCCTTTTCCAAAAGTGCTCACTAGAGCAGTTATATAAAAGCAAGGGCAGTTATGCCCCCAAATTAAGGTGGTGGTTGTTGCGACCTTTATTTATTTATTATTTATTTTTATTTAAATATGTAAATTTTGGATCTCACAGCTGTTGATCTTTTCAGATTCATAAAATGTTTTAGTTTTTAGGTGAATTCAATCATACATTTCACAATCTGATTTCACTGAAAGAAAATGATCGTATGCACACATCACGTGTGCCACCACTTCTAGTGTGTGTGTGTGCATGCGTGTACACTAGATATTTTTGTTTCTGCTGTGACTGCAACTTCCTTTATTAGTTGTTTGTTTTGTGGGTTATAACATTATTATTGGACTGCTGGATAGTAATCCATGTGTGTGCGCCTCTCTCTCTCTCTCTCTCTCTCTCTCTCTCTCTCTCTCTCTCTGTGGCTCCACCTTTTTTAAGGGTTTGATTTATGGTGTAACATTTTAAAGAATACTTTGGGTGTGTCGAATCTTGCTGTCACCATTTAATATTCTGAACGAACTTATGCTGTTTTATTTCTAGTTGCTATTTTCACTACATCATGTTTGCATATTCCATGCAGTTAAGTGAACAACAATTTGAATTCGGAAGAAAATCATTTTTATGCTGGTCTTTAGTCTTTCAATTTGTGCATTCTTTCTCAAGGACTAATGGTTTTAGTACTTTCCATTTATGGAATATTTCAGTTATAGGCCATCACCATTCTTTATTTTGGATGAGGTGGATGCTGCATTGGATAATTTGAATGTTGCTAAGGTAGCTGGGTTCATCCGATCAAAGTCATGTGAAGGATCTCGGGGTAATCAAGGCATGGAGGGTGGAAGTGGGTTCCAAAGTATTGTGATATCCCTAAAGGATACCTTTTATGACAAGGCTGAGGCTTTGGTTGGGGTCTATAGGGATTCTGAGAGGAGGTTAGTTTCTTCGTTTCATGGTTTTTAATTTTATTCACTTTCTTGCTAATTTTGGGTTGTGGTAGTGTGTGTGTCAACCATGTAAACCTGCTCTGCAAAATTGTGCTAATGCATTTATTTATTTATTTTTCAGTTGCTCAAGAACATTGACATTTGACCTGACCAAGTATCGGGAGTCATGAAAGTTCGACTATAGGTTCCATCAATTATCTTGTAACTTTATGTTGTGTTTGGTTGGAGGATTTGGGGAGGGATTTGGAAAGGGAGAGGAAAAAGGTGTGTGAAACTAGGTGAAATATAGGAATGTTTTATTCACATTTCACCAACCTTTTTCATTTTCCTTTCCAAATCCCTCCCCAAATCCTCCAACCAAACACAGCATTAATGTGCTGTTTAAACTGTAAATACAAGGACATAGCTTGGATGACCTTGTTTCCTCTCTAGGGTTGTAAAAATTGCAGGTTGTTGTATTTAGATTCATTTACTCAGGATGTGCAATACAATGGTGCCTTTTTCCCTTTTCTTAAACTTCGAAGAATGGTGATCTCTCTCTCTCTCTGCGCATGTGTGACGTGAGACTACTGCATTGTTTGTGTACTTGTGACGTGAGACTACTGCATTGTTGTGCTCATTGGATGTGTTCATATATGAAAGGGAGGCCAATAAGCATATATCATGATCTAGGAATGAGAAAAGTCAGGTCCATGAATGTATCTTGTATTGTGTGACATGATTCTTGATTGCATAATGCACTTGGTACCTCATTACAAGGGATGAGATCCACCATCTTATCATAGAGATTGAACTATGAACCTAAATTTATACCTCTGCTTAGCTTTTTCTTTCTTAATTCAATGCGTATATTTTGTCTCCCTGGCAATGGGCTTAGATTGACTTTCTTGAGGTTGTGGTTGGAACCTTGTATTTCCAAAATCCTTCATGCCTCCCACCACTTGAGGGGCATATCAATCCTGTGTTGGCTGGCTTGGAAGGTGTTTTTTGGCTGAAAGAAGGGCTTGTTTGGTTGGCCAGAAAGTTGACTTCTTTTTAAAATTATTGAAAATCACTGCGATATGAGTTTAATTGAAAAAGAAAAATACAGGTTTTATAAATAATTAACATTATGTATTGAGTTTTTAATGATTTTAACAGGTGATTACCTGTACGATGGCATCTACGTACCTGTAGTAGTTGGAACTCCTACAACTCGTATTATTACCTGAAGTATGAGTTGTACGAGTTCATTTTGTCCTATGTATGTATGCAAGCAATATATATCAAGTGCTCAGGTATATAAACTATTCAAAATTCACTATAATATACAGTTTATCGCTGTGCTTGCTTGGGGGATTTGAGGAGGAATTTGAAAAGAGAAAGGGAAAAACTGTGTGAAACTAGATGAAATATAGACATGTTTTATTCACATTATACCTATCTTTTCCATTTCACTTTCTAAATCCCTCTTTAAATCCTTTAACCAAATACAACATTAGTTGAAAAAATATACGAATGACCGGCTCATTTGGATTTCTCAATGGTTTGAACACATGAAATCCAATTTTGTTCCTCTGGTAAAAAACATGCTTTAAGGCTCTGCCCAAGCACCCCAATTTTTATTAGACCAGTATGTGTAGATTGATGATGATTTTTATGCGAAAGAGATTGTATACAAAAAGTTCATACAAAAAATATATATAGCATCACTATAAATTACATATTTTTTTATAAGAATATCATCATTATTTGAAATACTAATTTTATATAAGTTCCATTGCTTCATATAAGATCTATTTAACATTGTGTCTTTTGAACACAAAAAATAAATATAAACACTTTTCATTATTTTAATTTAGAGAAGATTACATTAAACAAATTTCAAATCAATGGTAAAACTGATCAACTTTAATAATTAAACTTAAAAACTTTTTCATGATTTTGTAATTTTTTTTTGGGTCTTACAAGTTGCAGCTGACTAACAATTTTCCCCTTAATTTATTTATTTTAAATATTTTTTTACAAATTTCAATCTTAAACAATCTACTGGTAGAGCTTATTCACCTATACATTAATTTGTTAAGGCTATTTCTACACAAGCCGTGTAACGGTCAAGAACCAAACAAAGATCCCAAATTTGGCGCCGGCGAAACCAACGGTTGGAATTTGAGAACTCCTCTTCATACTTGTTTGACCATTAAAACCTAACCTCCAAGAAAGCTCCAATCTTTGTGCGGTACACCAAAGCTCTAGAAAAAAGGAAAGAGGGTTCTCTCTCTCTCTCTCTGTCTCTCCGGCACCCAACCTGAGCTCCTCCGGCGAGCTTCTCCGGCTACCAGAAATGCCGGAGGAAAAAGTGTTCCCATCGGAATCAGCCGACGACGATGAAGACGACGATGACGAATCAAGCACAATGTCGTACCAAGAATCCACTGAGGACATTCTCGATCCCACCCCTCAAGATATCTTCGAAAACCCAGATTCGATCGAGCTCAAGAAATCGAGAAAGTACGCGTTGTTGGAATTCCGGTGCAGGGTCGAAGACGCGATTCTGGGAAAATACATTCTCGGGAAAAACAGGGGAAGATTCGCCTCCAATGTGAGGGAAAATTTCAGAGACATAACTCTGTGGGGAGTCCCTCTTTTGCCGAGTAAAGCTCACGAGGGGACTGACATTGTGCTGATGAAATTTTTGAAAGCCAAGGATTATAACGCTTCTGAGGCCTTCAATTTGCTTCGGAGGACATTGAAGTGGCGAAAAGCGTATAATTGTGATGTGATTTGTGAGGAGAAATTGGGGTCTAGTGATGGAAATGTGGTGTGTATTAATGGGGAAGATAAACAGGGGAGGCCAGTGTGTTACAATGTGTTTGGGGCATTTAAAGAGAGGGAATTGAGGAAGAATGGTAATAATAATGGGTTTGGGGTGGAAGAAGAGAAAAGTGAGGAGTTTTTGAGATGGAAAGTACAATCCATGGAAAAGTGTATAAAGCAACTCAGATTTAAGGTGGGTGGGGTGGACTCTGTTCTGCAGATTACGGATATGAAGAACTCGCCTGGACCTGCCATGAAAGAGCTGCGTTCGCTTAACAAGAAGACCATGGTGTTGTTTCAAGAAAATTACCCTGAACTCATCTTCAGGAATGTAAGTCCTTTTGCTATTTATTCTCTGCTCTGCATGTTTCTGAGAAAAAAAAAAAAAACATTTTCTCAATTTTTTTATTATTATTTTTTAATTTTTGAATAATTTGATATGATGGGAAACAATTACTAGAAAACGTTTTTCATGTCAATGAAAAACAAAATCATTTAAGAAAGTGTAAACGTTTTTCAAAATAAACTCTATGGACACCACCCTATCACCACAATCCCCACAACCACCGCCACCCTACCACTCCACCATCATCATGATCACCACACTCTATCACAACCACTAGTGCATTAGTTGCAACAAATGCACTAAAAAACATTTTCTTCCCCCCCCCCCCAAAAAAAAAAAAAAAAAAAAATCTAGTAAAAGAGTATTTTTTTCGAAACAAACCAAGTGGTAGATTCATTTTAAGTGTGATCTTTCCTTCACTCAAACAAATCTGAACTACATATTAATTTTTCTTTGCATTTTTTTTGAGCTAGTAGTTGATTCTTGGGTATTGATTTGATTCCCAATTTATCAAGATCTATTTCAAGTTTCTGCCGAAATGAGGTGAGTGTTAAATTCATTGTATGTATGATCCTACTAACTCGGAACAAATTTGGACCATATATTGATTTTTTCTGTGCTTTTTTTTTATGAGCTGACAGAATCTCGTTGATTATTGGGTATTGATTTGATTCATATTTTATCAAGTTCTGTTTAAAGTTTTTGCACAATAATGTTACATGGGCTTTTATGGATTAATGCAGATATTCATAAATGTTCCATTTTGGTATTTTCTGAGCCATGCCCTACACTCAAAGTTCTCTCAGAGAACAAAGAAAAAGTTCATCTTTGCCAGGCCATCAAGAGCCACACAGACCCTCCTTAAGTGAGTTACGTTAAATCTCATTAATTTCACTCTCTAATTTCTATTTAATGATCTCTCCATCTTTAAACCAAACAAATTTCCTTAAACCCATAATAAGGTACATATCCACGGAGAACATACCGTTACAATATGGTGGCCTCAAGAGGGACAAGGACATGGAGTTTTCTCCCTGTGACAAAGCTTTAAGCAAGAAAGTCAGAGGAAATGCAGTGCAGATCATTCAAATTCCTATTGCGGAGGTACCCAAATTTTTATTCTTCTTTTTAACAAGTTTTTTGACAATCCTGGTTGACAATTACTTTCTCAGTTCTATTCTTCACATTAATTGACTCTTCAACAACTATATATATATTTTTTGTTTGATTAGGCCGGAGTGACAGTTACTTGGGATGTAACCGTGGTTGGATTTGATGTGGCCTACAAGGAGGAATTTATTCCAGACGATGATTGTTCATATAATGTTTTGCTACAAGAAGAAAAGAAAATGAGAGAAAGTGCTAGAAATTCGTTTTACATATATGAACCTGGGAAGATTGTGATAACCATTTGCAATGGAACAGCGAAGAAGAAGAAGATTTTCTACAGGCACAAAAGCAAGCCCACTCTTCCCCTGTACATCCCCAAGTGATTGGTGTTTTAATTCTTCTGGATTTAATTACTGGTTTTTCATGTTAGTATGGTTAAGCACTTTGTTGTTTTTGTGAACTTTGTAAGATTTACTTGTCTGCTTATTATGACTAAGGATTTGTTAATAGTGTATATATCTCTTGTCTTCTCATTTTGTTTTATTTAGTATTTAATTTTTTTAATTCATATTTCCATATTGCTCTAACTCCTACTCAATCTTGGCATAAAGTTGTCATTGCTTTTTGTTTTTGTTGTTTGGATTATGTACAAATGACTTGTCATTTGAAAATGTCCATAATTCCATGAGATTTGTTAACCAAAATGTAATGGTCAACTCTCAATCCAAGTTAATAAGTTGTGAGAATCATGCGTGTTCATGTAGAGAGTAAATTCTTTTTTTAAGATAAAAAAATACCCTTTTTTATACATTAAAAACACAAGAAACCTTAACAAAAGTGACATGCAAATAAATTTAGAAAAAAAAAAGTAATCAAAATGAATATGTTGGACCATTTTAATATCTTTTATTTATTTATTTATATATTTTGTTCGTGAATCTTCTTTTGTCTTATTCATGAATCTTATCTTGTTCATGAATGGAGTTTAATTAGAATTCTTGAACTTGGTAGTGAATTCATATTTAGATACACTCTCTGTTTTCTCTAGGTTCATGGTCATTATTTTTTGATGTATTTTGTAATGTTCTAGTGGCCTATAAATAGTTCATCTCTTCTACTCTTTTCTACACCAACACATCAACTATTTTCTGTACAAGAGAGATTACTAGCAAAGAAGGGTGTTTTTCTTGGTGGAGCTTTGGGTTCACTATCTTGTGCAGAGTTGGCCTGAACCATACGACAAGTGGTCGGGTTGTTGTATTCTGGAGGGGACGTAGCTTTGTGACTACTGCATCGGTATTTGGGTTCTTCCTACCGCAGTGGGCTTGATCTCCTTAAAGAAAACGAGATATCCGTGCCTCAACCTGATCTATTTGTATCTTATTTTCTTTGCATTATTTATCAATAAAATATAATTTTTTCTGGTATTTTTACCAACAATTTTAAGGAGATCAAAACATGGAACCAATACCAGAAAAAACCAATGATAGAATTGGAGATCTCAACAAGCCTTTCAAATTCAAGGGAGTTTATTTTAAGAGATGGAAAGAAAAAGTTCTTTTTTACTCTTTTGAAAGTTGCATATGTTCTTACCAAGAAGAACCCAAACAAAATCCCAACCAAGGAGATGAATGATGAAGATTACGAGGCACATGAAGCAAAAGTAGCTTCCTATAATACAAATGAGTATAAATGTCGCTTTTATCTCTTAAATTGCCATGCTGATCAATTTTATGATTACTATGACACCATTTATACTTCCGCAAAGAAAATTTGGATAGCTTTACAGACTAAGTATGATATTGAAGAGGCAGGAGCAAAAAAGTATGCAGTTGGCCGCTTTTTTTGCTTCCAAATGGTAGATGGAAAATCTGTTGTGGAGCAAGCATAAGATTTCCAAATGATATTTGCAGAAGTAAGATCTGAAGACATCAAGATTGGTGACAACTTGGTAGTTGTAGGACTTGTTGACAAGTTACTGCCATCTTGGAGAAAATTCAAAAAGAGCATGCGCCACAAACAAAAGGAGACTTCCTTAGAGGCGTTGATCACTCGCATCCGAGTCGAAGAGGAGGCTAGAGGCCAAGATGCGTTAATAACACAAGCGGGTAATGACAATTCTACCACAAAGGTAAACTTTGTTTCAGTAAATAATAACTTACCCAAAGGTTACAATTCCGAGAATGCTTATTTGAAGCCTTATAAAAAGAATATGAAGAATTATGGTAAACCTCACAATAAATGGATTAATCCAAATAAGAACCAAGGCCCGTCACCTCCACAAAATTTTGCATGCTTTGTCTGTGGCAAAAGTGGGCATATTGCTCGAACTTGCAAATTTCGAAAACGTGCACCTGCCCTAAAGGCTAACGTTATCAAGGAGCCCTTTGTGGTGATGATTACAGACTTTTGCATGGTTAATTATGTGGACGGTTAGTGGGAAGATTCTGGTGCCAATAGACATGTTTGTTATGATCAAACTTGGTTCAAGGTGTATACTCCTTTTGATGATGAGAAAACAATTATGCTTGGTGACTCTAGTCTAACCAAGATACTTAGGAGTGGTGAGGTTGACCTTAAGTTCACCTCTGGATGTGTGCTTACTTTAAAAGACGTGCTTTATACACCGTCCATGAGGAAGAATTTGATGTCAAGTTATTTGTTAAACAAGGCTGGTTTTAAGCAAACTATGGAATCTGATCAATATGATTACCAAGAAGGGTATTTTTGTGGGTAAGGGTTATGCTTGTGATAGGATGTTTAAATTGAATGTTGAGATTAATAAACCATCTACTAATTCGGTTTACATGTTGTCTTCTATTAATTTTTGGCATGCTCACTTGTGTCATATTAACAGTAAATATGTGGGAATTATGAGTAGTTTAGGATTAATTCCTTAAGTGACAAATTTTTTTGAGAAATGTGAAATTTGCAGTAAAGCAAAAATTACTAAGAGGCCTCATAAAAATGTTGAAAAAAATACTGAATTGCTAGAATTATTTCATACTGATTTGTATGAGTTTGAAGGAATTTTAACTCGGGGTGTTAACCGATAATTTATCACTTTTATTGATGATTTTTCAAAAAACACAAATGTATATTTATTAAAAAATAAAAGTGATGCTTTTGAGAAATTTAAAGAATTCCTTCTTGAAGTGGAAAATCAATTCGGTAAAAAGATTAAAAGAACCTTCATCTAATGGCTTAGCTGAAAGAAAAAATAGAACGTTAATTGACTTGACAAATGCTATGCTTATTGATTCAGGTGCTCCCTCAAATCTTTGAGGCGAGGCTATTTTGACAGCTTGCCATGTGATAAATAGAGTGCCATATAAAAAGACTAAAATTGTACCTTATGAGTTATGGTGGGGGCATAAGCCAAATCTAGGTTATTTGAGGGTTTGAGATTGTTTAGCTTTTGTGAGGCTTGCAGATCCTAAACAACCTAAATTGGGTGAACGAGCTACCGCCTGTGCTTTTCTTGGGTATGCGTTGCATAGTATAGCCTATAGATTTTATGATATGGAAAATAATATTATTTTTGAATCAGGTGATGCTATTTTTCATGAAAATAAATTTCCTTTCAAATTTAGAAATAGTGGGGGTCAAATAATTTCTGAAAATATTTTATCCGTGCCTAGCTCTTCTACTCTATCTCAAGTTTTTCAAGAACAAGAAAATTTTCAAATTCAACTAAGGATGAGTAAACGAGGTAGAGTTAAAAAAGATTTTGGCACTGACTATTATCTTTACAATGTGGAAGAAATTTCTCTTACGGTGCAAGAAGCTTTATCATCACTTGATGCTATTTTCTAGAAAGAGGTTGTAAATGATGAGACAGATTCACTACTTTCAAATAAAACATGGAAGGTAGTGGATTTACCTCCAAGTTGTAAAACTATTGGGTGTAAATGGGTCCTTCGTAAAAAAGTTTAACCGGATGGAACTATAGATAAATATAAAGCGAGGCTTGTCGCTAAAGGTTTTAAGCAACAAGTTAATCTTGATTTCTTTGATACTTTTTCTCCGGTTACTAGAGTTACATCCATTAGACTATTGATAGCAGTAACTACAATTCATGGTTTAAAAATTCATCAAATGGATGTGAAAGCAACATTTTTAAATGGAGATCTAGATGAAGAGATTTACATGAACCAACCCGAAGGCTTTGTGGAGCCTGGCCAAGAAAGTAAGGTGTGTAGCCTTGTTTGGGAACATGCTTTTTTAGTAACTTTTTGACTTTTTGGCTAAAATGTGATGTAAAAAAAAACTGCTATGCTTGGGATGACTTTTTGGCTTTTTACGAAAAGATGTACAAAAAGTAGAGAGAAAAGAGAATCTTTGACTTTTTGGTATAGGTTGTTGGCTTTTTGGTTTTTTTAATGACTTTTTGACTTTTTGGCTAAAAAATCCCTTTATGGTTTAAAACAAGCTCCTAAACAGTGGCATGAGAAATTTGATTCCTATATGCTTGAGAATGGTTATAAGACTAATGAATGTGATAAGTGCATATATCATAAAACTTATGAGAATGCACATGTAATTATTAGCTTATATGTGGATAATCTACTTCTCTTTGGCTCTAATTTGTATATTATAAATGAGACTAAAAATATGCTTAATAGCCACTTTGATATGAATGATCTTGGTGAAACCAATTTTATTTTGGGAAGTAAAATTACCAAGACTAATGATAACATTTTTCTTGATCAATTGCATTATGTTGAGAAAATTTTAAAAAAATATAATTTTCTAGATTGCAAACATGTTTGTTACTCCTTTTGATGCAAGCATACATTTATCTGTTGTAACAAATGAAAAAGAAGTAATTAATCAAAAGGAATATGCTAGCATGATTGGTAATTTGAGATATGCTACTGATTGTACTAGGCCTGACATTGCATATGCTGTTGGAGTTCTTAGTAGGTTTACTAGCAAGCTAAGTCGAGATCATTGGCTAGCTATGGGAAGAATTATGAGATATTTATCTGGAACAAAAGATTATGGTTTGTTTTATAACAAGTATCCTGCGGTACTTGAGGGATATAGTGATATTGATTGGAACACTTTGTCAGGTGATTCTCTCTCTATCTCGGGTTTTATTTTTACCTTCAGTGGTGGTGCTATATGTTGGAAGTCTAAAAAACCGACTATAATTGCTAATTCTACTATGGAAGCTGAACTTGTAGCGTTAGCTTCAACATGTGAGGAAGTGAATTGGTTGAGAAATTTGTTACATGAAATCCCTTTTTGGGAAAAACCAATTCCTCATGTGTTAATTCGGTGTGATAGCACTACTGTTATTGGTAGAGTGAACAACTATTTTTATAATGGTAAATCCAGACCTATTCGAAGGAAACACAGTAATGTGAGATACTATTTAAGTAATGGCATCATAACTGTGAATTATGTAAGATCTTGTGATAATCTTGCGGATCCGTTAACCAAGGCTTTGGCGAGAGATAGGGTCTGGAATACATCGAGGGAGATAAGTTTGAAGCCTATAAAATCATAAATCATGTATGAGGATACC